CTTAGGGGAGAGGGTCCAGCTCGTATGTGAAATCTTTCATTGGATGCAGATGACTTATATTGAGTAGGGATTTTATGGCGCAAAAATTTAGTAGACTACTATCAACTGAATGTGAACTAGACCAAAAGTCTTTCATCTTCCTCTTCGAGCCATTCCAACCTTTTTGCCAGTCTCTCACCTTGCCTCTGTATAACTGGACTAGGATGCTTCAACATCTCACTCGCCTGAAGCCACTGCTCTGCACATTCCTTATGTGCCTGCTGAATTTCTGCTCGACGTTCTTCATATTCAGCCTGCTCTCGCTTCTCCCGCTTTTGTGCAAGCTCCATGTTAAGCTGATCAAGTCGCTCCTGCCGTTCATAGCGTTGGCTCATGGATCCCATCATGTTACGAAGGAGTGAGGTTGTCTCGCCATAGCTATCGGAGTCGAGAGATGCTGACTTACGAGCTCGCTTCTTTAGAGGAGTTGTTTCGTCGTCTGTAATTGAAATTGAATCTGAGGAGTTGATGTCATGGGTGCGAACAACAGTGGCATCATTCCATGCCCTATCATACAGTTAGTAAGATCATCAACTGTATTTTTGCACAGTGACATTGAAAGGACTCACACTTCGTCAATCAGCCTGAAAATCTCTGTTTCCTTGAAGGCTTGTAGCGTGTGACGTGCAAACTTGGCCTTTGATGCACTCTTCCCGCGCCTCGTTCCATCAAGGGCTGTTGTGTTGTCCTTTGTGTCAAAATCAAGAACTTCGGCTTCTTCTTCATTTCCCAATTCAGTGGCAATCCGATCATCATCTCCGTCTCCTCCACCAGTATGTTCTTCCATCTCCTTTACCTGTTTGTATTTCTCCCAAGCCTGATTCCACCAAAAATTGCGGACCTGGGCATAGGTTACACAGTTCCCAAGTGTCTTGTGTGCAAGCTGAACAGTGCTGAGGTAAGTGCAACTACTCAACATGAAACTTGAAGTGTGACTTACTGTTGTAAAAACTGTGCCCTGGTTCAACCGAAATTTGTACCAGACCTCAACGGAGGTGATGTACTTGACAGCAGTCAGTTTGTCTTCATCCGTCAGTCCACGCTTACTCTCCAACTTCACAGTAGCATCACCTGACACAGCAGTCTCGAGCTTTAGGTCAGCTTCAGCTAACATGGTCTCCGTCAACTTCGACACCTCGTCATCTGATGTGCCAGTGACCCGACGGCTACCCTCCCCTGATTTACTGCCCTTCCCACCTCTCTTTGCCTTTGTATCACCTGTTGTGTTCCCTCGGGTTCGTTTTGCAGTTTTGGATGGCACAGGTGAGCCTGTTTCATTGGCGGCAGTTCGAGTTGATTTTTTTTGTGCAGGGGTAGTCTGTGGCGTGTTTGGAGATGCTTCTGCACCAAAAATCGAGCCTGGACTGAAAGTGGCTGGTGGAGCAACACGGTGAGTGCCTATTGAGGGTACTACTGGCATCATGCTGATGAGTGTGTTCTGCAGGTTCCAGGGAACTGACTGTGTGGTAGGTTGGATATACGCAGGAGGGTGAGCTTTTCGAGGCGAGCGGCGCAGCCCAGATGATGGATCTACAGCATAGTGAGGGTCGTAGGTGTTGTGTTCAGGAAAGATCTTGTAGGTGTTGTTACGACTGGGGTATGTCGAGCTGTCTTAGTCCGAGTGGACTGAGATTCGGCGAGACAGACGTGGTTCTTCTCTCGAGTGAGAGGTCAAAGGTTTCTGGCTAAGGCAAGTATCGGCGACTTCCTTAGAATAGTGGTTCTTAGATAGCAAGGTTGGAGACCTTGCTAAAGGACTTGTTCCAGGTAAAACCCAGTAGATTAAAGTGAGGAAATACATGTGGTACGCTATGTAACTATATAGCGAGAGTTCAAGCGGAGATTGTAAGTGCGTATCAAGATAGAAGGCGGACAGCCCGCTTGGTAAGTGATAAGAGATAACAGATAAGAGATAGTAACCATGGTGCGGACAGCCCGCTTTGATAAGAGATAGTGATCTAAACATAGTGGTGGTTACTGGTGCGGAAGGTTAGCTTGGCGATGATATGAGTAAGGTTCTGGAAGGTGATTGGTCGTTCGTTAAGAGCCGTGTGCATGTACCATTGTCCAGTATCGAAAGAGAAGCGAAGAGAATGAATATACCGTAACATTACCCCCATGTTATGGTCGATGTCACCGGCATCGACATCACTAGTTGTCCTGGTTCTCGTAGTAGATGGGGTCGGCGTCGGCATTGTGGAATTCTAATTCTTCTGGCTGCGCCAAGTACTCCCTATCGGCGCGTGCAAGATCCTCCTCCTCTTTCTTATCTTTCTCTGCTTCCCACGCGGCTAACGTGTCGTAGAAGCCTTCGTCGGTATAAACCAACGGGAATAGTATCTTGGTGGTGGTGAAGGGGCAGTAAATGGAAAAATGTCCTGGTTTCGCGTCACCGCAGACGCGGCAATAGTACAAGGGGCAGTTCTTGTGCTTGTGACCAAGCTTCTTGCAGACTCGGCAGATGAAGTTGGCGTCGGCGATACTGCCGACTATTTGTTTCAATGAGGGGGATCTGATAGCGATGCTGGAGGATGGGATAGCAGTGGGTTCTACGGTGAGGTCAATGACCTCGCGTTTCTTTCCTTTAGACGACTTCTTCTTAGTTACGCCGTGAATGGCAGCTCCTCCGCGGAGGTTTCTTCTTTGGAGTTCCGTGTGAGTTGGGATAGGTATAGGTATCGGTGCAGTGTTCCCTCCAATCGAAGTTGGATCAGGTAGAACAGCGGGGGGGTTATGAGTAATAGGAGGCAACGGGCGGCCGACTTGGAAGGAGTTTCGATCAGCAACAGTCTGTATAATTTCCCTGCAGATAGTGCTAAAACCAAGAGGGAATAACTGAAGCATAAGCGAGCGAATGCGCCGCTGGACGTGGTTGCAGGAGAGTCGGAGGGCGTCGTTCTCAATCTGGGCAAATTCTTCTTCAAGGCATTGAGTGGCTCTAATGATATGGATGTAGGTGGCAGCGACTCCAGCTGGCACTGCTGGCTGGTTGTTGAGATAAGTTTCGATCTCAAGGGCGTGGGCGACGGAAAGTATGGTGGTTTCGACGATGACGTCGTCTTCGATGCTGACAACGTTGTCGGCAAAGGGGGATTTGTAGAGGCTGATGGCGGAGACATTTGATTCAGTGGGAGAAACAGTTTGTTGAGAGGACATGTTTGTATGATGGTGGGGACTGGTCGATTCAGTTCAACTTATGCTTCTTCTTATAGGCGAAAAGCAGGTCCTCGGCATTTTCCATGTTCTCCGCTGGAATCCATTCGTTGCTTCCGGAAGAGTATCCTTTCCAAGATACGAGATAGCGTCTTCGTTTACCCGTGCCCTTATGACTCAGGACAGCTTCGACTTCGTATTCTTCAGATTGATTGACTATATCTGGAGGTGGTTCCTCGTAGTTCGGTCCGTGAATTTCTGTCTCTTGATAGGAGGATAGTTCAGAAGCATGGAACGTGGGGTGAACCTTCCATTGTTCAGGGAGCTTTAGGGTGAACGTGATGGGCGACAGGACTGCGGTTATGGGGAACGGTCCGTGCCGCTTGGGCGCAAGTTTCCTGGACGGGAGAGTGGTCATGAGATTGGTTGCAGATAACCAGACCTTATCTCCTATCTTCCACAGTTCATACTTCTTTCCGTGCGTTCTTTCTGCCATTCGTTGCATTGCGATATTGTGGCAGGAGATGGCTTCTTCTCTTATCTTTTGGAGGGTGCGAACCCTTTCTTCTGCGGCAGGGGTGTCCGATGATGGTAGTACGTGGGGAATACCGCGAGGTTCATATCCCATCATGAGGAAGAATGGTGATGCGTTCCTTGCTTCGTGTCTTCGGTGGTTGTGCACAAATTCAGCGAGGGGTAAATGGCCTGACCACTCATAGGGGTTAGTCCTACAGTATATTCGGAGATATGTCTCAATTTCTTGGTTGAGCCGCTCGGTTTGTCCGTCTGTCTGAGGGTGATATGCTGTGGAGGCGGCGATCTGGTATCCCAAGAGGCGTGCTAATTCCCTAGAGAACCTAGAAATGAACTGGGGACCTCGATCAGAGATCACCTTTTCATGGAGTCCGAAATGTTTGAATACGTTTTTGAAAAATAGTTTGGCGACTCCTTCAGAAGAGATGTTTTTGTTACAGGGAGAAATAATCACCCCCTTCGTAAGGCCATGGTCTACCACGACCATGAGGGAGTCAAAACCGTTGGACACGGGGAGGTCGGTGACAAGGTCAACAGAGACCTGGGAAAAAGGGCGAGTAGCGGAGGAGGGGATGGGGACGAGGGGAGGCAAGACGGGGTGAGTGTCGGCTTTCATTTGCTGACAGAGAGCGCAACCGGCGACATAGGAGCGAATAAAAGTGCCCATTGCAGGCCACCAGTAGTCGCGTTTGACCAATTCTTCGGTTTTAAACCGCCCAGGGTGACCGGCCGTAGGGTGGTCATGGTGACGAAGTAACACGGCTGTTCGGTGTGAGGGCGGGACATAGGCGCGAGACTTGTAATAAAGCACCCCGTCCAATATTTTCCAATCAGAGAGGGCTGATTTCATAGGGGGCAGACATAGTCCATCCAAAGCGTCACTGGCAGTGGAGAAAATGGGATCATCCAAGGAATCCGTGGCGAGGGCGGTGGATAATTCTTCGTCGAGTAGACGGATAAACATGGATTCAGGAAGGAGTACACGATCCTCATTGTCGTGTTCACCAAGACCGTGATCTGGGCGTCGAGAGAGCGCATCAGGTGCGGCGAGCTTTGTCCCGGGGACGTGGTGTAATTCAAGGTCATAATTAGATAGAACAAGCTGCCAACGTGCTTGTCTCCGAGAAAGCTTCTGTGCTTTGGAGAAGTAAAGGAGGTTCAGGTGGTCGGTGAAAACGAGGATGGGGTGAGGGTTTCCTTCCAAATAATGACGCCATTCGTTTAGCGCACGAATTATAGCGAGCAGTTCTCGATCGAAGATTTCGTAGTTGCGTTCGGCGGGGTTAAAGGACTGGGAAATGTATTCACAGGGATGGTAGACGCCATTTTCGTCCGTCTGGAGGAGTACGGCCCCGGTTGCTACCAGAGAAGCATCGGTAGCGAGGGCAAATTGGCGTGAAGGATCAGGGTTTCGTAGCACTGGTTTCATCGTGAAACATTGTTTGAGTTTGTCGAACGAGGTTTGAGCGTCAGGTGTCCAGGCGAAGACTTGATCTTTCCGAGTGAGATTGATAAGTGGTCGGGCGATGTCGGAGTAGTGGGATACGAATGCCCTGTAGAAATTGCAAAATCCGAGAAAGGAGCGGACGTCCCTTACGGAGGTTGGGGTAGGCCAATCCTTTATCCCATCAACTTTGGCATGTTCCATTGCAACTTCTCCGGGACGAATAATCATTCCAAGGTATTCCACTTCCGCTGCGTCGAAAGTACATTTTTCCGGTTTGACGAACAGTTGCTCGTGACGAAGTATCTCCAATACTCGTTTCGTTCGTTCACGATGCTCTGCGAGGTTGGAGGAAAAGATAAGCAGGTCGTCCATATAAATAACGATCCATCCTTCATTGATTTCTTTCTGGAAGCGGTTGTTCATGTAGGACTGGAAGGTGGCGGGAGAATTGGTTAAGCCAAAGAACATTACAGTGGGTTCGAACAGTCCTTCTTCGGTAGTGAAAGCCGCTTTCCATCTATCGTCAGGGTGGATTCTGATATTGTTATAGCCTGACCGTATGTCAATCTTTGTGAAATGTTTTGCTTTGTAGAGTCGTTCTATGAGAGTTTTAGGGAGCGGGAGTGGGTATTGGTTGCGTATGGTCCAGTCATTGAGGTAACGATAGTCCTGGCAAGGGCGCAACTCTCCGCTTTTCTTTCCTACGAAGAAAAATCCACTGGCTTGCGGGGATTTTGAGGGTACGATGAATCCTTTCGCGGTGTTTTCCGTAATAAAGGTCTTTACTGCTTCTCTTTCTTTTCCTGATAATGGGTAGATCTTGGATGTCCTGGGCATGAATCCAGGTTTCAGATCGATTCGATGGTTGATACCTGGTCGTTCTGGTGGCAACTTATTAAGGCCGTCTTTTGCAAAAATATCAGCGTAGGTGTGCAGGTAAGATGGAACGAGTTCTTCGAAGCTCTTCTTCATCTTTTCCTTCTCTCCGGCGACCGCGAATTCTTGAGCTTTGTTGCTAGTTTTCGAGTATCCTTGTTCCTGTTTCGATGTACCATCTCTAGTGAGAGGGGTGTCAAAAGAGACGTCGGAGATTACTCGAACTTGAGAACCGTCAGGGGAGTATTCGATTAAGACGTCTTCGTCGTTCAGAGGATAGAGGGAGGGATCGACCACTGGAGGGGCATAGTTTTCCGACCATACGTCTTCCTTAGTGTCGTAATCCGGCTCATCTTGATCTGGTGCGAGGTGAGGAAGTTCTTCGTCGGATGATTTCTTCTACAGAAGCTCGTGGGTAAACGGGGTCTTTCTTTAGCTTGGAATTCTTCCATTCGCGGGACGGTTCTCTTTCTGCGAGAACGGGACAGGGGAAACAGTAGTGGTAGATTGCGCTGTTTCCTAAGATGGTCGATTTCTTTTCGATCTCGAGCGATCGTTCGTTTGGTGCGAGAGATAGTTCTTTGTTTGTCCAGTTGATTGACGGGTTCAGTGCTTTTAACCATGGGAATCCGAGCAGGATTTTATCCTTCTTTGATAGTTTGGTTATGTTGAACTTCCCTATCATGGTTCTTCCGTCAATTTTGACAATAAGGACGCAGTAGCGAGAGATGAGTCCTCCTCTTGCATCAGATCCGTCTGCAGTTATAACAGGGAATGGTTTCGAGAGTTTGTGGGTCTTGATTCCGTGGAGTTTGCAGAATTCCTCGCTGATGAAGGTTCCGCTTGCTCCGGAGTCGATGACCATAGAGGTTTCGATGGTTTTGTTACGCTTGGTGGAAATAATAGTGGCTGGGACGCGAAGCTCCTTTTTATTTCCAAGTGATTGTACAAGTCGTATTGGGACAGGAGGTACTGACATCGATGCAGACTCCTTTTCTAAAAATCCATTTCCACAAATCGTCGGTTACCTCTTCGTCATCATCACTGCTCTCTTCTTTCTCGACCTTCCTTCGAATAGGCATCTTCTGTTTCTTATCTTCCCTAGGGTGGAATGTGGTATCATTGGCGCGATGGCCCGTCTGGTGACACCTTGAAGCAGCGTCCCTCTTGAGATGTCTTTTTACTTCAGACTCGGAGAGCTGGTCTATCTCCATAGCATCACTTCTGCGGGGAGTGAAGTGACGATCTCCATACTTCTTCTTCCTAGGCTGGTAGTGCGTAGGATTCTCTCGTTTCTGAATGGCTCTCAACCGTCTGGAAGGCGTTATCCAGGTTGATACACGTTGCGACGACGGTTTCAAAGTCATCTAGACTTTCTCCAGTATGGTAGAGGTTGTTGCGAAGTCCTACGTCAAGACCTTCGCGGAAGAACTCTACTCTGGTGACGTTCTCGGTTATTCCTGCTTTATGGGCCTAGGAGGCGGTAGTTGGAGATATACGTGTGGAGGTCTCCTTTCATCTCAAGGGCTCGTACTTTAGCCATGGCTGTTCCCTTGGGGTCAATAGCTCCGAAGGCTTCCTTTGAACGAGACCTTGAACTCATCCCAGCTACCGTAACCGATGAGATTTCCTGCGGTATTCTTCAGCTTGGCGTTCTGAGCGGTCTCCATGAAGTCTTCTTTCCAAGCGGCTGCATTACCCTTGGTCATAAACGAAGTGCGAAGATTACTTTCTTCTTGTCATTGTCGTAGATCTTATCGTTGATATCTAAATACGCATTACAGTTCAGCATGAACCTGTGCGATTCATCGCGGTCTCCGTCGAATTCGGGGGGAGTACCGATCTTGATTTCAAATTCTTTGGTAGTGGTCGTCATCGTATTTAGCGGTGGTAGCGGTGGTAGCGCACCTAAGTTCAAAGCTCCGATCAAAGGAGTTAACGAAGTCGTGGTGTCTTGCTGACGTCGCAGGTGGCGGCGTCTAGGAAAAAGGACTTTAATCTTTTGTTACGACTGGGGTATGTCGAGCTGTCTTAGTCCGAGTGGACTGAGATTCGGCGAGACAGACGTGGTTCTTCTCTCGAGTGAGAGGTCAAAGGTTTCTGGCTAAGGCAAGTATCGGCGACTTCCTTAGAATAGTGGTTCTTAGATAGCAAGGTTGGAGACCTTGCTAAAGGACTTGTTCCAGGTAAAACCCAGTAGATTAAAGTGAGGAAATACATGTGGTACGCTATGTAACTATATAGCGAGAGTTCAAGCGGAGATTGTAAGTGCGTATCAAGATAGAAGGCGGACAGCCCGCTTGGTAAGTGATAAGAGATAACAGATAAGAGATAGTAACCATGGTGCGGACAGCCCGCTTTGATAAGAGATAGTGATCTAAACATAGTGGTGGTTACTGGTGCGGAAGGTTAGCTTGGCGATGATATGAGTAAGGTTCTGGAAGGTGATTGGTCGTTCGTTAAGAGCCGTGTGCATGTACCATTGTCCAGTATCGAAAGAGAAGCGAAGAGAATGAATATACCGTAACAGGTGTTGTGTTCAGGAAAGATCCAGTTTGGTGTGTCCATTGTATACACTCATTCATGCTGCAGCCTGCCACTGAGACCAACCGACTTACAAAATGCTCTGGTACTTCAAGCCGCTCGGCACATTACAAGCTCAGCGATGCCTGCATCAAATAAACTGGAAGAATAAACTGAGGCACTCAATTCTATATCATTTTATTTCACATGCGATCAAGATTTATATTACAGGCCACAAAATAAAATGGCAGAATAAAATAAGAATTGAGTGGGGCTAATGCAAAAGTGGTGCTTTCCAGTAGAGCGTTGCAGTTTGTATTCTGTTTGTTCATATCTAGGACGGTTGCTAATGTTAACTTTGACATGGGAGAAGTTGATCTGAAACACTTACTCTGCAAGTGTACATAGGACTTGGGGCGGGCACGATTCTCAGGGTTGTGCAACCGATCCCAGACACCTGTCTTAGTGAACAGTTCCTCAACGCGTTCAGCAATCCTCTTTGAGCGTTCTTCACCCAATACCCCTTTTAATTCGCTCTTGATTTCTCCATAAGCGAATGGACGCAAAGCTTCGAACTTTGTGAATATCGTGACCACAGGAACTGGAGATTAATCATTTAGTCTGAGCACGGCAAGTGATAATGAAGTTGCAAGCTCACCGCGCCCAGTATCGCACTCCAAGAAGAACTTCTCTTCTGACCGCTGGAATGTTCGACACGGGTCGTCCATTGGAATACAATACCTGATGGCAATCAACAAGCGCGGAACGTCAGAAGGGTGTTGCTTACCATATGGCATGGATTCGTTCCTCCAATTTCGTCGCATGTGCGCGTTCTGAGATGAATTTCTTCATGTCCTCGAATTCGTCTTCAGAACCCGCCTCGAAACCGCAGGAGTCGTGAAATACAAAAACGGGATTGCTCTTGAATATCATCTCATTCGTGATGACGTGATTTCCGCGCTGAGCATCTGTCAGCGCATGTATGTGCCCATAGGGCAAATGATGCACCCACCTTGATAGATGATTTGACGATGTCAGCATCGATCTACCCGCAATTGATCAGCGATGGACGCGTATATGGCATGGATCATCACCCGCACCTTGTTTCCTTTGGTATCGTAAATTTCTGGTTGATCCGTGGTGTTGCAGACCTTCTGAAGGATGGTCGTTTTGCCTGCGTTTGCTCTCCCTATGATCAGAACTCGAAAGCGCCCAATTCTTTGTTTGAGGTCCTGGGTGCCGATGGTTGCCATTGGAAGATCTTGATGTGCGTCTTGAAGTGGAGGTGATCTGGTTTATCGTGAGAGCTGTACTGTGGTACAGAACGAGGTCGTGGCGAGATATGACAGCGAACGAACACGACTCGGACGCAAGGGCTTCTGTGGCTTATCACACAACAGCTACACACGGCGTCTATCTCTTATCTATCTCCCTGCATCGGACCACTGATTATACTCTCGCATAGACACAAAGTTGCAAATGTTCAATCGTTCGTACGACTAAGCACAAGGATTACACAATAAACCATGTCGAACAGCGAAAACCTTGATAGAAATATGAACTGTATTGAATAATCAGAACACGATGGAGATGACACAATTTTTCTCTTCCCTACCTGTCTAGCTGAAAGGCAGCGATACCGGATATCTCTGTAGATGGAGGTGAACTCGATGTTCCAAGGTCTTCTGAATGATTGATCCTTGAAACGTCTGAGAGCAAACAAGAGCATGTCGGGATGTAAGACACCCTCTGAAATGAGTGATATCCCGTGACGATCGACAGGATCTGTACGTCTGGAGTTCCCCCCCGGAAGATGGTGGTCCTGTGTATGGACTAATGAGCAACGGATTAGTAGGTGCTGCGTGTTGGCTGAACTGGAACGGTGACCACGCTCGTTGGTACTGAGGTAAATGAAGATGTAGCGGGCTGCCGGAGCTTGTGTATTCATAGATAGCTCGGGGCAGATTTGGTACATGTCCGCGGGAGAGTCCGACTGTCCATCATACTTTATCACTTGGCGCATATACTATCAAGTATCAAAGAAGACGTACCGGCCAACATACACGTAGATTTGGAGAACTGGCGTGCGTCTTACTGAATTACGACAAAATCCGCCCCAAGAACCCTTGAATACTCACGCATGAGTACAATGGATGTAAGTGACAAAGTACATGACCTTTCCTCTGGAACGTACAAATTAGCATGCTTTGGCAATGAGTATGAGGACTCGCGATGCAAGTCAAGACTCACTAGCTTGAAAGATATGCGTGGCTGTATGCCTTGGATCCAGCTATTTCGGATAATGTTGACAAATTTGTGGGACATAGCGTTAAATATTGGGTGATCATCTCTGCTGCTCCCTGCCGGTGTCGATATTCAAATGGTAGCCATCCAAGGACATCCGGGTGAGGCGACTGTTGTATCCATAGGACATGATAGCCTTCTGCGAGTAGTAGACAGTGTGACTTCCGACTGTAGGCCATCTGAAAAGGAAGAAATTGTAGCCTGTGCTAAGTTGAAATGGAAAGAAGCACCGCACTTGAACTTTAAACTAGTGTGCCTGGATGCTCATTAAGATGGTCATTTGGATGAGTTAGACATTGAATGTGTGACCTGCTACCGAGTCACGAGCACCATCCAAGATCTACGTGGTGTTTGCGCTTCGAAATCGACAATTAATACAAAATCATCGCCCGCATGCCAGAAGAATATTCAATAGTACAACTCGAAGTTCGAACTGTAGATGTTTGTTTGTTGTTATGTAATTCTAAATTGCACGAACCTTCCTTGCGAACTTGAAACCCTCACAAGAAAGAACAACCGCATAACAATTGCTACTACATCTCAACGCGTATTTCAAATTATTTGTTCCACTCGGACTTTACGAAGCTCGGAAAAACATGATACAAACTGGTCTCATCCAGAGCGCACACAATGATCTTCTGACAGACGTAGCTTATGATTTTTATGGGCTTCGCTTGGCTACTTGCAGTCTCGATCAAAGGTACGTTATTCTTTTACTGCGTATATGTGTTTCTACACGTTAACTTACGCTGCTGTCAAAGAATCAAAGTTTGGCAAGTAGACGAGAATAATGGAAATTGGAACGTCGAAGATGACTGGAAGGCGAGCATGTTGGAAGACGCGTTTTTGCGCTTATCAACCAATTAATGCCAGGCTCACGATGCTACCGTCTCCAAACTAAGCTGGGCTCACCCAGAATTTGGGACCATACTCGCATCCGCCTCTTTCGACCGTACAGTCAAGATTTGGGAGCAAACTAGCTTTGCATCAACGACTGATTCCCAAACGAATGGTGCTGGTGCCGGTTCTCCTCAGGCTGCTTCATGTGGTTCCTCAAGATGGGTGGAAAGGGCTGTATTGGTTGATGCAAGAGGCACTGTCCGCGCAGTCGAATTTGCCCCTCATCATTTTGGGTTGAAGTTGGTACGTCAGGCGTTCGTCTCATTTAGAGATTTATGAGAGCTTCTGCAAGGCAACTGTCTCTTCCGATAATCACGTTCGCATCTACGAGTGCTTGGAACAATCATCGCTAGCCACATGGCAGCTTTCAGAAGAAGTCGATGTCTCAACGCTCCCATCTGCATCACTGTCCTCATCGTACTCCGTGGCGTTTGCGACACCAACGCAGACAAGCGCAACTCTTGAGGGTGCTTCTGCAACCCTGGTTGCTCAAGCCTTGCAACAATCGCAAAACCCCGCCACTCAGGGACGACCCGGAATGGGGAATCGAGAAGCTGATGGAGGGTGGTGCATATCATGGTGTAAAGATAGATATTGGGGGGAGATCATCGCGGCTGGCTGTGGGGTATCTGGCGCTATCAAGGTATTGTCACGCTTCATTTTTGTGGCATTGCTCACTCTGAGTCACAGATTATACAATTATCTCCCTCTCGTCGACCTATCACTCTCCTTACTTTGGACCCATCTCCTTCGCCGGCGGGTTTGCCCACCGAGGCAGGAACCTCGCTTGCAAGTGACGGAGATACTCCAACACCATTTGCGATCACGTCGGTGGCATGGGCGCCTTCGTGTGGGCGATCATATCACCTTATAGCTACTGGAGGTCGCGATGGACATGTTAGGATATGGCGAGTTAAGCCTGCGGAGGAAGAACCTGACGTCGAAGGAGAAGGGGGCGATCCTAAATGGTCTGCAAATGTAGTGGCAGATTTCGATCACCACAAGTGCGTGCGATACGCACTCCCCTATGGCATTGTTACTGATTGGATGCGTGCAGATCGGCGGTTGGCCGTGTTGAGTGGAACATCACTGGGTTTGTTTTTGTCTTCGGGTATCGTAAGCTGCATAGTTGACACGCATTCTCTCAGGACCGTCCTGTCTTCTGCTGGGAATGATGGTCGTGTACGGCTGTGGAAAGCGACTATTGGTAATGTTTGGAGGACTGCCGGGAGCATTGGGGTTGAGCAGTCGGAAGATACCCAAGATGCTGATGTCAATATGGGCGAAAATGCAATTGCCGAATAGATCATTTGTATGTAGTGCTCAGGCTGTCGATGTTCTTCGGCTACTTTCACGTATCACGATGTCCTTTCGTGGTATCCTTTCCCGTGAGCGAACCAGGTGACCTTCACACGGCAAGCCGCGCGGACCGAATTGAAGCCATGATACATGCTCTAACTTCTATGCTTTCGTGATCCGGACATTTCTCTTGCGACCACTTACCTAGAGGCTTCAGTAATAATCACGAAGACCAGCGATAGGCTAAAATGTCTTCATCAGGGTCAATCGTTACTCCCTCTGTGCCCACCCAGCGACTGATGTCTGTCGCATCTCATCTACACAGTCAACGATTCAAAGTTGTCGTATGTCGCAACCTCGGACCCCATGTCATGTCCATTCTCGAGGCAAGACCAGAGCTAGATGTGAGTTGATATCCGATTGGTATGGAAAGGTGAGGCTTACTACAGTTGTAGTTGGTTGTCTGGCCGCAAGATAGTGCCTGTGAACGGTCATGGTTGATGGAGAATATATCTGGTGCAACCGGGGTGATTGTCATGCTCACGGACAAAGTACGGTTATTGTTTGATGTTTGATGATACACCTGCTGATGGCCCGGGTGACTTGCTTAGGTTAATGCAGAGCTTCTAGACAAGGGTACGTATGCAACACATACCTCTAGCTAAGTTAAGACCGACGTGTCTGCTAGCTGGACCTTCTTTGAAGGTGGTATCCACCATGTCCGTTGGATATGGTACGTGCTTCTGCTATTCTAAACCCCCTAAGTACTTGATTTAACCTCAACCTGCAGACCACATTGACCTCAAGGAAGCAGCACAACGTGGTCTGAAAGTGGGATATACTCCTGACGTCCTGACAGACGCAGGTAGGACAGGGCACCGAACAAACGGTCCAGACCGCTTATCTTCGTGACATATAGTTGCTGATCTGTCGGTCATGCTCGCTCTCATGGCTGGCCGAAATGGAGGCACAGCTGTGGACCTTGTGCAAAGGGGCCAGGTCAGTAATTTATATTCTTGGCGAGATATCTTGTGCTAAAAGATCAATGTCAGTGGGCAACTTTCTCGTGGGCTCCTTTTGGCTTATGCGGGCCACAACTCAGTACTACGGCCGCGTCACCCACAAGGAAAATCGGGTTTCTAGGTTTTGGACGAATCGCACAAGCGACGCTAGCGCGCCTTGTACCGTTCGGTATCACACATTGCTTGTATTTCTCAAACCCGTCCTCACTTCCAAATCATGCTCGGGATGCTGCGCTCGCGAAACAACACAAGCTTCAAGCAGTCTCGAAGGTAGACCTCGATGAACTTTCGCGGGAAAGCGACGTTCTCTTTATACTTGCTCCTGGAGGGGGCGAAACGTATCACATCGTGAATGAGACACTGCTTAGGAAGATGAAAAGGACCAGCATCCTCGTGAACGCGAGTCGCGGAACGTTAGTTGATTCAGATGCTCTGGCGAAGGCTTTGAGAGAAGGATGGATCTGGGGAGCTGGATTGGATGTCGTTGAAGGGGAACCTAATGTCACCATTGATCACCCTCTCGTTAAAGAGCCGAGGTCAGTGCTAGCTTTACCTGATTCTATTCTCTCGGGCGTACTAATATTTGCTATACAGATGTGTGATAGTGCCTCATATTGCAAGCGCTACACTGGAAACTCGACTAGAAATGGCAACTCGTGCGGCACAGAATTTGATTGGGGCGATTCTGGGACGGGAGATGCCTTCTGAGGTCAATCTGTCGGATGTATCGTAACAGTACTTCAATTGCAAGCTGGTCGAATCAACATCCTGCTCTTACATTATAGATGACTCAGGCGAACGATAAATTCATCACATCCAGGTCTGAGACGCAGCAACACCATAGGATCTCTGTTTTGAGCCATATGCCCTACAGTGGCTCGGCTTGAGTCCAAGCCTCTGGAGCCAAGCCTGAAGCTTGAAGTCCAGGCCAACACTCCGCTCACATGATATCTATTCAGTGCGTTACACGCGGTGTCGATTGTGATAACATCAAGAAAGCAATACGAGATCTGAAAGGCAGAAACCAAATGTCAACACACCCCCTCAGAGACACAAACGCAGATTTGCAACATGTTTCATGAAGAGAGGATGAGCAGACGCTTTCGCGAGGATGTCTGCCACATTGATTTACATAAATAAGTACCACGACGAAACTATAAATACAAACGAATTCTCCTGCACTCTGCAGACTAATACCCGCCGATTGTGAATCACATCGAAGATCTCCCATACTACACGGTACTGCTAGTTTCCACATGGACACGCTCCTGGAAAGCGATTGAACTCATAGCGGTTGCTATATCGGAGTCGGCCACAAGCTTAGCGTTATATTCTCGAACACTAAGGATGAGGCGTGGTCCTAACACAGTCTGCTGCGCCATATCGAAGATTTGAGCCAAACCAAAACAAGTTTGAGCGCCCAGGGATTCTATGTCCTATAAAATAAATGAATCACGGGCGCACGTAGAGCTTGGTGACAGATCGACATACAGCTGAGATCGTCGAAGAGAATGAACCGATATGGAAGCAAGCAATAGCGAGAAAGCTAGGAAATGCAGAACATAAGTGGAAGAGACAATCGCGTTCGGATCATGGACTTTACCTCGCAAAGTAACTCGCATGGGTTTGCATTAATACCGTGAAACAGTCTACAACAATGCTTCTTGTTGAGTCTCTTCGCAGTTCACGGAAGTGCTTTACAGCAATCCAGACCGCGAGACATAGTGCAAGGACCTCCCATGCAGTGCCAAGTATCCAGGTCATGGAACCCAGAAATTGGGAATCTCCCGAATAGTTAAATATGCACTGATAGGTGCCGGAGAAAATGAATTCCTCTGGTATTTGTCAGTGAGCATGATGCACTTGAATATTTCATTCATATGTAAAGCTTACCCCCTGAAACCTGCTTTGTCTGTAATACGATCACCACTACGAGAGCGATTCTGATGACCAGAAAGATGACAACAAGAAATATCAGCATTTTTCTGGATCGCTGATACATAGCATGCAACCGAACAATCATGATGGCTTGCATGATATTTTAGTCGAGTCAATATCACGAAGGTATATAGCTCACCGCCCAGTATTAGATCTACAACATCACTCGTCCAATTAATTGCGTTGAACATGATACGGCCTGACAAATTCAACAACATCAGTCATCAGCTTCAGAGGATCACAGGCTCGAAACAAACTCACATCTGTGGAGAATCATTATATTGAACTAACGAGTTGTTCAAGAATCTCACTCACCCCCCTACATGGTAGTTCAGTTGTTTGGATAGGAATGGAAGGCATCGGCAGGAAATACTCACTCCATCTGTTGTTGGGATTGTTGGAACATCGACTGTATGCCGTCCGTCACAAGAGAAAACTGAGTTTATGCGAGGAGACATACGCAAAATGTTGATCCTGATTGTGAGAGATGGATAATGAGCGCAATATCAATGGCTCAAACGTCAAAACATACAAACAAATCCCATTCCACCATACCGTGCCTAGGATATGATGACGTCAGTACAGCTTGCTAACTACGCTCACAGGCTACATACAACGAGACACAGAATGGTCATCATAGACCAGCGTTGCCTCTGCCGCAAATTAGTTGTGGTATTTTCATATTATTCTTTTGATGTGGGACTCCGCTCACCCAAACGAGTTCTACCTATAAAACTATTCTCAGAGAGATGGCTGCTCCTGTGACGGTGTCAACCTACCTCTTGTCCGAACGCAAGTCCTAGAAATCCCATGATGTCGCTGATATCTTCATGCTTAATATTGCTTACCCCAATCGTATATTGCCATAACACAGGCGGCAACTGCGAAGAATCATGCGGCTGGCTCTCCACGAACCTACAAAATAGCTGCCAATCATTTCTGCATTGATGAGTGGCCACCAACTAGGATCGCTCGAGACTAGAGGCATACTATCAGAGGATGGGAACGAGCGAGCAGGGGAACTTGGTAGACATACAACGATCGTATTCATGCTTGATATACCAGCATCCAGCGCTTACATTGCTAAGTGAGATTTGAAAGATGATATTTGATTGACCGAAGTAAGTGTTTCGGCATGAATTCTGGAGTAGAAGCCTTGGGCTCATGGATATCAATAGGGCTGTTCGATTCTTGCTCAGCCCCACCTGTCAAAAAATGACATCGTTTGATGTTCGGCAGATACCCTGCATTTATCAGTACCCACGCGCACGTCGTTCTGTTGATCATCAAGCGTTGTTGACTGTTGTTCAGTGCAGGAGAAACTGTCACCAGCGGCCTAGGCAAGTCTTGTTTGAAGAACAGAAACTTGGTAAGGACGTAGCGTTTCAAGATCCCGCGGAACTGACATGATCATGTGCGTGCTCCACTCGAACTCCTTTTATGTTCCACTTTGAGTTAGGCGCGCTCCACTTCAAGTCCAAGAATCGAGCAGCTCTAGTAACTATTAATGGCAGGTGTTGGTGAGAATTTTAAACCGCAAACCAGTGACTCGCGCAGAAAAGATCAACCAACTATTCGAGATTCAAATTGCAGGCTTCCAGGTGTTCTTGGCATTGTGGGGTTCGACCTAGGCCTGGATCGATGATGAAGGGGAATTTGGATCCAGGGATATTGATGGTATCAAAGCAACAGGTATCGATAAAATCGCAAAGCAGTGACTCGTGTGGAATTGAACACCACAAAAGATCCCAGCCCCCGATTCGTGTAGAGGGGCGATATCATTTGACCGCGAGCCCGTGTAGTGCAAGAGTGTGGGAATTTGGGATGCAGACTTCTTTGAGATTTGCACGGTTGCAGTACCTCCTCCACATCCATCTCGTGGGAGTCAGTGATATCTTTTTGTCTTGATGGCATTACAACGAGCGAGGAAGTGTGCACGACTCGACAGGCACTTGTGAAGAGAAACAGGGTGCACTGGAGGGAGTTGGGCGTGAGGGATTTGCTTGGAGGTGGTTGGGACAGGTGAGGCACCTGCTAGCTGCAATTACACCCATTTGTTATTTTTGACTTTTTCTGGTGCGCCCACAGAACGTGGCTCTTCTTCAAGATATGGAGACTTTGTCAATGAATGATCGATGAGCCGTCATGCGGCTAAAAGTGGAGAGAGAACAGATCCTGCTTGTGAATTATTCAGACGGTAGACTTTTTTCTGAGGGTTGCATCGCCTGCTGATCTGGGTTAGATCTATAGCTGTATGATTTTACTGATAAAATAATTGAACTGCCGGTGATACAAGGACATCTTCGCGTTGGAAACGAGTTACAGAAATCATAATCAATCAGTCGTTCTATATTTGCAGTGTTCAAACGTTCCGCTTATTAAAACACTGCTTTATGATAATCAACTTCTCCCAAGTTTTACCCTGATTCGATCGAGTCGGAGGGGCTTTCCAGGAGTGATTGTTCCGTTCTCCCTTGTATCACGCCACGAGTCATTGGTCAACCAAGAACGTTTCACCTCCGTGGTGCCTTTTTTCAGCGATGGGGCGCTGGATGGTATATCTAGTATGAATTCCATCATCACCATCATCATACCTCTACCAAGTCCGCTGCTCATTGCTCACTCACGCCACATCATCCCTCAAATATGACTGCAGTCTCAAATGATCCCTCTTGGTGGCCGCAGATCAATTTCAATTTCAATATCTGTTATTATATAGGTTCGTGGAGAACTAGTCGGATGATGACCCTGATGTCTCAGTTGTGGTTTTACAGTTGCGTCCTCTGCTGCGGTGATATACGATTGGGGTAAGTAAGGCAGCGTTATAGAACCATTTTGATATCCTTATGATAATTTCAGCATTGACAATCGGACAAGAGGTAAATTGACGCTATTACCAAAGCAGCTAATTTACTGATAATGATTCTTACAGTTCGAACTGGTCTGGGTGAGCAGAATCCTATGTCAGAAGGACGCAATTAATCCGCGGCAGAGGCATGACTGGTCCCTCATTACGGTTCTATACATTGGTGTGCGTAACTTATGTTACACGCGTCGCAGTTGGCAAGACATGCTGATCTCACAAAATATTCTAGTTGCGCTACGTTGGAATGGTATACGTTGTGTGCGTTTGCAAGGTCAACAAGTTTCTGCTGTGCTAATAAGCCATTGCCCTCAATTAGCATCAACATGCTGCGTATGTCTCCTCACATACACCGCGGTTTATTCTGACCAGCGACATATAGAATTTCTTCCGACATTCTCGGTGACAGATGAAGTAAGTATCTTAATGCATTTGTTCCTGCCATTCTCATCCGACTAATTGCACTTCTACTATAGGGGTGAGTGAGATTATCAACACAAGTTCGTCGGTTCAACATACTGACTGCAACAGCTGTGAGTTTTTTGGAATGTTCAATCCTCTTCCGAGATGCGTCACCGACTGGGATTTTCAGGCAATGTTATGTACTTCACAGCAAACTGGATGAGTTTCGTCACAAATGCTATGCTAGGCGGTAAGCTACTCAGCTACGATACCTCAGTGATAATTTCCTGACTGGTACATCCTGCAAGTCATCATGATCGCTCGGCTGTATGCCATGTATCAGAAATCAAGAAATATGCTTATCTTTCTCGTTGTATTCTTCACGTCTGTCACGATCGCCTGTGGAGTGATGACTGGAATGCTAAACAAGTATACTATAGGGGGTAAGCTTCCATTATGGTCGAAAGGTTCATGCTGATCAATGAATGTCAGGGGAGCTCATCCTTTCTGGTACCTATATGTGCTATTCCTATGACCCAGAGGCAGACACCGCCATCTTTCTTCCTATGACATGGATACTCTCCACTGTATGGGAAGTGCTCGCACTGTGTCTTGCAGTCTGGATTGTTGTAAAACACTTTCGTGAACTGCAACAATCGCCGACGGGATGGGTTGTTAGGGACTATTTTACGGTGTTAATGAGAACTCACGTGGTTTACTTTGCAAGGTACGTCGGTGATCTGAATGTAGTCAACTTTCTTTTCTGAAGCCTCGTACATGCTAGTTTTGTTGCTGTTTCCTGTCTCGATCTCGGGCTTTTGTTTCCAAGCTTACTAGTATGCCCTTTTATGTCGCTGACATTTTGGTGACCTGTATTCATCACTTTTACAGGACTCACTTGCCGTGGGACCTCAGATTTATTTTGGCGTTCGTCAAATTCTCTCAGTCATGCAACTGTTTGTGCTCGGACCACGCCTCATCCTTGGTGTTCGACAGCATCATGCTAAGGTCGTGGACAATTCCGATGCAGGAGTAGACATGATTCCAATGTCTTTCCAGCAGCGCACGCACGTGTCAACTGGCAGTAGTGTATAGTACTAGAAGGCCCGATCAACACTTGATAGATACTCCCCACATACTGAAAACTTCATTTTACTACTCAGTACAGTCACTTATTTTATTTTTGTTCTTCCATCGCAGTTAACTTTTCTGCACAGTTACATGTAATGTGCCGCGTTCTGTTTCCGATCTTAATGGTATAGCTGTGGATTCGACATCTGGACCGGTGCGCTCATGAAGTCAATGGATCTTTCGCTGATGTTCCTACTGTTTTTTGCATCAATGGTGCGAGTTCTAATTCTGTTCTAGGCATCAATGAATTGAACATGTGACACGAGCCAATCAAGTGAATTTTGCGCTATAATTGGCGAGATAAAGTGTCAATGTGTGCTACGCCTGATGCATCGTTTTATTCGTGAACTAGTCTGTGTATCAAATATTAGACACGAGCCAACAAAGGGAATTCTCGATGCACGGTTTTATGTGTGAACTGGTTGATGAATCAAATATTGGACATGAGCCAACGAAGGGAATTCAAGGCATTCTATCCTTGATGCACGGTTTTATGTGCGAACTGGCCTGTGAATCAAATACTCAAGCAAAAGATGAGTCGAGTACACAAGAACTTTGGTTAAACATTCTAGTCGACAAAAACACGACAGTATACGAAAATGAAATAGACTATAGCTAGAGTGCAAGAATATGTATTAGGGTCATTTGTACATCAGAGTCACAGATAAATATACAAGACGACAGCCATACGACATAGAAGCTTCGACGACGTGTTTCGCGACAGCATCATCTACCTCCCAAGGTGTGCCAACGACGCTCTTGAACTCTGGAAACCGAATAACGGCTGCTAGCAGGGTCCTGCTTGCCATGACAAGCAAGGTGCACCCGCTGCAAGGCTTCGAGTGCACCTGCTCGTGTGGCTTTGTCACCAGAAACAGTAGTGTGGTTGGCCGTTGCAGGAACGAGCTGATGAGCAAGCTCAAGCTCGTTGTCGCACTGTCGATAGCCAAGAGCGCCTTGTCTTTCCCTGCGCCCGGTTGACCCTGTCCGATCGCCACAAAGGACGGAGGCACGCGCTTCTTCATCGACTGTCTAGATCTGATTAGAGCCGAAAGTGTCGGCGTGTAAGAGCAAATTTAGAGACCTTCCAGGCATAGCTCCTTCCGAGAACGATCCGCCTTTGTTTGAAACAGGTGAGCTGCATGGAGAGGAATGGACGTGAAAACTGCAGTCGGACACAGCCAGATTCGAGAGAGGCGCTTTAGTTTGAGGACATGCTCGAGTACGTTGATGATGGGTAGCATGATCTGGTCCCATGTTATCTGCAAGAGGACTATGAGATCCGTCCTCAACTCCCCTGGGTTCATCCTAGATGAATCTCGTATTGCCCTGGTGAAGCGATCTATATCTGCGAGAGCGATGGACGGTAAAGGAACATGATGGGGGTCTCCTGACATCCGGACGATGGTACGTTCATATACTGGAGTATTAAGGTTCTGAAATTGTGCGATGAGTGTAAACTCATTGAAAGAGAATGATATATACAACCTCGGAACCATAAGCTGCTCCTCCTGCAGCAGTGTTTGCTTCATGTCGTGAGAACCTTGTTTGGGGAATCGTTGGTGAATCCGATTGCAGGTCCGATGCTCTTGATTGTGTGCTTGACCACGGGTAGACTTGAGTCCCCATTCTGAGCGGCGCTTTTTCAGGAGGCTAAGTCTAATTCATTTGAGTATCAGATGCCACTTGAAGGTGTGTAAGTAGATGACCTACGATATCTTGAAATTACTGGTCTCCTTGTGTGTTCGAAGACGTGATATAACCTCCGGATTGCTGTACCCGCTAGCAACATATCGCTCTACTAGTGGTCTTATGATTTCATCCGGAGCTGCGGAGCAAATGATATCAGTAGGAACTCATGAGTTCCAGTTTAAACTTTCATTGCACTTACGAACCGAACCTTGTGGGTTGGGCATTAGAAAAACGTGTCATTACTGGGCTCCAGCACTTCCAAGACAATGGTACACTAGCAGGAGAGGATGTTTCTGTATTAACGGTAGTACAAGTTTACAACGGAGCACAAGAGACCCATTGCACTGAGGCTTACTTGAACGTGGCACCACTTGCAACTCCTCTCGACTGAAAATGAATCCGTATACTACCTGCGAATATCAGGTCGTCCTTGCTGGGATCCGATGCGAACGCAGGCAAGCTTCGTCGAATATGCAGTCAAAGCAGTGGTAGAATAATAAAACTAGGTATACTAATCGAATAAAGTGCAATACAAAACGACGATCGGACATTGAAAATGCTTCCAACATAGGGGCAAATCGAACCGTAACCAAAAATCCACCATAACATTATAACTCGACAAAGCGACCGCAGCGGGCTCTGCGAGCGGCCAAATTTTGCGTTACCTAGTACGACACGCGTACGAACTCGGCGAAGTAGCATGTACTAGAGGACCACACGTTCGTCATTTAGGGGAAGTGGCAATGTTTGTATTTATTTGTTCCAAAATTTCGACGCGTTCTTGATCTTTTGTGAGCTCCTCCTTCTCGATTATCGCAACGATGACAAAATATATCCTTGTTTCCGGAGGTGTTGTTAGCGGGATCGGGAAAGGTGTTATCGGTGCGATACAGCGCTTTTGGCTGAACCTGGTCATTTATAGTCATTCCTAGCCTCCTCAACAGGCCTACTCCTCAAAACCGCAGGCCTCAAGGTTACAGCAATTAAAATAGATCCTTACATGAACATAGATGCCGGTACGATGCGACCAACAGAACATGGTGAGATCCGAGTGCGAATGTTTCTCCACAAACATCTAACATTCCATCAGGTGAAGTCTACGTTTTAAATGATGGCGGTGAGGTGGATCTAGACCTGGGGAACTATGAAAGGTACCTCGACGTAACACTATCCAAAGATAACAATATTACCACGGGCAAAATTTATCGCGAAGTTATTGAAAAGGAAGTGAGTTTCAGCTCATCTTGAGACTTTTAACTAGTCACTAATGTGAGTAGCGGAGAGGGGAGTACCTTGGAAAAACGGTGCAGGTATGTCTATGGCCATTGTCACCTCGCCACTCTCAATTCTTTGTGGTTAGATAGTGCCGCACGTGACGAACGCCATTCAAGATTGGATACAGCGTGTTTCCAAGATACCGGTGGACGAATCGGGAGAGGAACCTGATATCTGTATCGTGGAGGTAAAAAGTGACATGCAATACTTTCCGTCATGATATCAACTTTTTTTAGCTGGGCGGCACTGTCGGAGACATTGAATCGGCGCCGTTCATAGAGGCGATGCGCCAATTTCAATTTCGCGTTGGACATGATAACTTCGCACTAATCCATGTTTCACTTGTGCCCGACATGCACGGTGAGCAAAAAACAAAACCGACTCAAACTACTGTCCATGCGTTGCGTGGGCTCGGTCTGCTCCCTGACTTAGTAAGTAACACATTGTTCTTAAATGACATACCTGACGTTTGTCTGGAGATCGCGTGCCGGTTATTGGGACGCCAGCCCCTTGAATCCTCCACCAAGGATAAAATTTCGATGTTCTGTCACGTTGCGTCGGAGCAGGTGATAGGTGTCCATGATGTCTCGTCTGTCTACCACGTCCCTCTCCTTTTGCAGTCACAACGAATTATTGAGTATCTCCGTAAGCGGCTTAATCTCGCAAATTTGAACATCACGGAGGAGTGGGTTTCCAAAGGGCTGTCCTTGGAGATGAAGTGGAGAGCCGTGACAAAAGGGTACTATAATTCTTTTCCTATCATCGCTTCTCATTTCCCATTGTTCAGGCAAGAACGCCTCTTCGACGAGGTCAAAATTGTCCTTGTTGGGAAGTACACCGATCTAAAGGACTCGTACATGTCCGTCATCAAAGCCCTTGAACATTCTGCGTTCCGCGTTCGCAGGAAACTCATCATTCAGGTTGGTTGTGTTGGTCCCCGCAGAATAAATGACTTATAGCGATGTTGCATAGTGGGTTGAGTCATCGGACCTGGAGCCTTCAACGCAGGAATCTGATCCTGCTAAATACCACGATGCTTGGCGAGCAGTTGTTGGTGCTGGGTAAGTGGCAGCCCTACGTTTGATTAGGAAAACACCTGGTACTCAGATTGGGACAGCGGTATTCTGGTTCCCGGTGGGTTCGGAAAGCGCGGCACGGAAGGTATGATTCTTGCCATCAAATGGGCACGAGAGCAGAAAGTCCCTTTCCTTGGTATCTGCCTGGGCTTCCAGATGGCTGTGATAGAATGGGCACGTAACGTGCTCGACATACCAGGTTCGCTCCATTTCTCGTTAGCCATTGCTTCTCTTATCTTCCGTAGATGCTCATTCGGCTGAGCTCGTTCCCGACACGCAGAATGCTTTTGTCATTTTCATGCCGGAGATCTCACGCACTCATATGGGCGGAACAATGCGCCTGGGTCTTCGACCCACTGTATTCGACCGTGACTTCGAGACTTGGTCCAAGGCTCGCAAGTTATACGGCGGCAATGAAAAAATGTGGGAAAGGCATCGACACCGATACGAGGTCAACCCGGAACAGGTACAGCGTCTGCAGGAGAGCGGTCTTACATTTGTGGGCAAGGACGAAAAAGGGGAGAGAATGCAGATCCTTGAACTCAAAGGTATGGTTATGCGCAATTAATCTGAAGACTGTTGCGATTTGTCATTGCAGATCACCCATTTTTCATGGGTTTACAAGCCCATCCTGAACTGTGCTCGAGACCACTCAATCCTTCACCGCCCTTCTTAGGCTTCATTGCGGCATCTTGCGGACAATCTGATTTAGAAGAACAGATTGAAGCGCAACTGAAATCCTTCCGCCCACCTCACCCCGAACATTCGATGGTTAGTGAAGAGGCGCTGAGGACAAGCACGCAGGAACATCCGATTGTCAATGGTGTCGGAACTATGACACCACCAACCGACTAAAAATGGCATAGATATCACTCGCCATTCCAACTTCACGCGCTTACTATCTTCCTCACGATGTCTCGGTCGAGGGGGTGTGCTAGAGTTTAATATTCACCCTTCGTCATCGTTCGATGTCCAGATCCCAACTACGTATATATACCTACGTAGTAGACCATCCTCTCTTTGTCGTCTCCCGCCATGTCGTAGACACACAAAACAGGGTCATTCTCTAGCTCCAACACAAGTTGCGTCAGTGGCGCAATGAGAGGATATATTGTTTGCACACACAGATTCACGACTTACTTGTACCCCCTCTGGACCGCTGAGGAATGTGCATTGCCTGTAATTACATCTTTCCCCCAGCTTCTGTAGAAAATAGATTGCAAGAGAATGTGATGCGAAGCAGGCACCTGTTTGAGGGATCTCAACGTTTACGAATCTGCGATGCGGAGCGGTGATGCGGACTCGCGCATTTCGCACTAATCCGTTATCGATAGACATGTTGCGTTGTATTGCGCATATAGCGCCCACTTTGAGATCCAAACGATGGAGAGGCGTGGAGTCAACATGGTGAAGTAGTCGGGCGTTTGCTCAGGTGTGTCTGGAGGTGCTTGGTCTGCTTCTACAATGCCGTGAAAGGAGCACGCGGAGGCCATGGTGGTGAGAGAGGAGGATAATGAGCGATCAATCGATCAGAAAGTGCTCAGATTGACGTCAAGCGCGCATGGCGCTAGACCAATTTGGAGGACAGGTGGAGCTCAGCTCAGAGCACAGGAATCACGCGAATTGGTTCCGCGGGATCAAACGTTCGGCCCTTACATATTGTAGAAATAACATGGTGAATCAAATGCAGTTTTGAATGCTCTATGGATGACATTAGTAAGGGGATTGTAGGTTAATAACGAACGTCGAGTGGTGCATTGTATGCGGTCTACATTAATATTGATCGATCCTTCACTAATTACCAAACCCGCGTGATCTGTACTCGCGGCGCGGAGCATCATGCGACCATTCTCTCTGTGGTCTGGTCTCCCTGCCATAGCGTGAACCACGGTACTCTTCGGTATTACCAGAAGGATCACCGGGATGCACCCACTCTCTCTGTGGCCTGGACTTCTCCCTTCCATAACGCGCACCTCGATACTCGTCGACGTTGCCAGAAGGGTCATTATCATCCACCTGCCTGTCCCGACGGAAGTTTCCTCTGGGGTTCTCGAAGGACCGGTTGTTCTGCCTGCCCCTTATTTCCCATGAATTTGTAGGTCTGGCAGAAGGCCTAGGGTCCCGGTACGATTTTCCGAAATGCTTCGTGCGTCCGTCGTTAAGGCCCATCTTCTGCAGGAAGCCGTCGCTGACATACGGAGGCGTAGGTAAGCCGCATGCTTCCGTCGCCCAACTTCTACATCCAGCCAGAATATTGGCCTTCTGAACTCGCAACTCAGGTGACTTGGGGATATAATAGCCAAGGAGGGAAGCAAAAGTCTCCTTGATGGCTTCTTCGTCGATGTATTGTAGTAGCGCCGTGATGCTGTTGTTCATTTCTTCCGAGCAAAGGCGTGGTGAAAGCGGCGCGTCGTACATCCTAGGTGCACCCCGCACTGGTCGACCCCTGGCGTCATGTGGTTTAATTGGTACACCCTTGAATACCGCTTGAGGATCAGCGTCGTAGTGAGCTGCGAGGTCCTGGACCTGGCGGGCGAGCTCATCTGAGGTGACTGGCTTTAGCGGGACTTCATTGAGCTGGCAGCTCAAAAAACCGATCTCCCAAGGAAGAAGAACTAGATCTCCACGTCCAACTGTAGAGCCCTGGCGGCCAGTACGACCGACACGGTGAATGTATTGTTCCGTGGTAGCGGGGATACCGAGCTGAATGACCCGTGTCACCCCTGGATAGTCCACACCTCGTGCAGAGACGTCAGAAGTGACAAGAATCGATGCTCCAGAGTTGTCAGCGCGGAAAGCATCAGAGGCGGCTATGCGTGAGTCCTGTGTGCGCTTAGAGTGAATTTCGTACACCTTGGTGTACGCGCCAGCAGGCAGCACTGCTTTTGAAATCTCACGAGCGAGTGTCGCGAAAAGCTGCGTCATGCGTGTCGTGGGGAGGAATAATAAGACTTTGCTCTTGCCTGGGTTTGTAAGTTGGTCATGTGCGAGGAGACGAAGAAAGTGGGGGATCTGTTGAGATGGACTGGGGAGGACGGTGTGATATTGGGGGACGTGTGCATGAACTGGGGATTCGCTTTCAGGAACTACGTCAATGAATTTATGGTCCTGATCAAGAACTGCCTGTGCGACCTGGCGAACGGTCCGAGATAGTGTTGCTGAAAAGAGGAATGTCTGCCTCTCAGATTTAGGTGGCAAATAACTCATAATCGCATCAATGTCATCCCGGAAGCCCATATCGAGAAGCATGTCTGCTTCATCGAATATTACCTGGCCACATACTGGTAAGTAAGGGGATCTTACTGAACTCGTCGGAAGACATACCATTTTACATTTGCTGATACCTTTCGCTACCTCAGGCTCCGACTGCAGCAAATCACGAAGTCGCCCGGGGGTAGCTACAACAACATCCCTCCGCCCTTTCATGAAGTCGCGCATCTGCATTCGCTTGCTTGCTCCTCCGTAGAATAGTCTAACCTCAAAATCATTGTGATGATTAGTTAACTTGACAGCAGTGTTGGCAATCTGCGTAGCGAGTTCTCGGGTGGGGCTGATGATAAGGGTACCGACATGTTCCTTGGCAAATTGTCTCCTGGATTGCGCCTCCAGATGCTTGTCTGAAACAAGGCCTGCATCGCGAACCGCCTGCTTACCCCAAGCATGGATGGCATTAACGCGAGCCTCGATAGCTGGAATTAGGAACGCAAAGGTCTTCCCGGTACCAGTTTTTGCCTTGACCAAAAGATCTCGTGGGCGTGTTGGGACGTCGTTAGATGTTGATTCAGGAGGTAGTGCAAGCTCTGGAAGAAGCTTTGCAACTGCAGCTTGGACGGGGGTCATCGTTTTGAACCGGTAAGGATTCTCAATAATAGCACGGAGTGTCGGATTGGATATCGTCCCCTTCATAGATTCCCATGATGGTTGTTCAAGAGAAAGGTTACCCGCCGGGATACCTGTGGGTGCCGGAGCATTTGCAATATTTTCTTGCAGAGCGACAGAAGGAACAGCTGCCGCCGCTGTTGCAGTAGATTCATACTTCCGTAAACAAACACGAGGAATCAAAATGCCTGATAAATCACAGTTATTGCAACTGCATCTGGCTAGAAATCGGATAATCATACCTGCGCGTTTTCCTCTGAATGTCGCAAACCCATGACTTTGGCTATGAAAGGGTTGTGAACGAAAGCATGCTCTACTTGAGGTTGTCGTTGCTCGAGCGAGCAGACTGCACGTCATGTACGAGCTGTAGGCCTCAAAAATGAGGTAGGTCACGACGTGACAGAATTAATGGTAAGAGGAAGGAAGTTTTTAAGAACCACTTACTAGGCTATTTTTCTAAAAAGGAAATCAAAAGCTTTAGGATTCAACAAGTATAAATAACGACTAGTCACATACCCTCAGCCACCACATCACTTAGTAATCGCAATTGTTCACGGTGCGTGCTGCATCTTGCAGCTCCTATTAACTTGTAGATATCTTAATATGCCGAAGAACACAAAGTCATCAGCAACTTCGGGCACACGCAAGAAGAATGCTCGCAAGGCAGCTGTAGGTGTACCCCTTCCGGAAGTCCCTGTCGTCGCGAAGCAGAAGAAACAGAAAGGACAAAAAAAGGAGCCCCGGAAGAAGGTCTATATTCCTCCCTTTAAGCCAGCCCCACCGCAGCCAGATCCATTGGATACTCTCGGCCTTATACATAGACTTCCACCGGAACTAGTCATTATTCTTCGATCCTTGGGAAAGAAGGATCCAGTCACGAAGGGACGGGCTTTAGAAGAACTTCAATCAAAATGGATCGATGAAAGTTCAAGGAAGGGGGATGAGAGCGTGGAATGCGATGCACTTGTCACGATGCTGCCAGTCTGGGTGTGTCGTTTGGCAATCATGATCCATATCTTGACATTGACTGTATCTAGTTTCATAGGGCTCCTGTATTCTTCACACATTCTGTCCGCCGGATTCGCCTCTTAGCTGCTGCACTCCATTTTTCATATTTACGGATCCCTGCTGTCCGGGATGCTGCTACCTTCTTTTTGAGAGAGACTGCAACATCTGAACAAATTGAGACTCTCATGGGTACATGGTGCATGCTCGCTCATGACGTTGACAGACAGGTATCTCTGCAAGGACAGAAGTCCTGGTCTAGTATCACCTCTCCAGGCGTAGACGGAGAGACACTAGTAAACTTGGAAATGCTGGCTTCTATCACGGAATTTCTCCAAAGAACTCTTTTGGATCCTCCAGGAGTTCATCTTTATCTCAATCCTCCTGCACCAGTTGCAGCTCCCACTCCAGGCATCAAAAGGCCTGGCGGAAAATTTATTCCGGCAGCCCCTAAAGAAGAACTAGAATCCAAGGTAAATGAAGAGAGTGAACTCGATAGGAATGCTCGCCTTCGTTTTGGTGCACTGAGCGCATTCCGCTGGCTCTTTGGTAAGTTAGGTCAAGGCAATGCTCGCAGTTCTCCTCATAGTTCTATAGTTGCTCGCCTTGCCTCCAAGATTATATCTCTAGATGATCTATCTGGCCTGCTATCCAATCCACTGTTTTGGACGTCGTTATATTGCGGTGAGCATGCGCCTTGGATTCCGGACCCTGAAATCCATGGTCTTGGGCATGGGCAACCTCAAGTACGCCAGGCCACGTGGGCACTGTTATCTATGCTGCTACAACGTCACAAAGGTGATCTGATAATTATTACTTTTGTTCAAGGCGCTGAGAAATATACAGGCGCCATTGAGCCATTTATTCCTATACTGAGCGTTGTTTTGCTTCGTGCTGCATGGGTCGAGACGGACTCAGGAGTTAGAAATGCTTTGTTCCAGCCGGTCTTAATTTTTCTCAAAGGTAAACTGATTTCAATAGTCTTGGCATCAACCGTTCCCAACTTTATGGTTCTACAGAGTTCCCAAACGCGTGGATTCTTGAAGGGGCATATGACGCAGACAAACAACACGAGGATGGTGATGATTCGGACTCGGATAGCGAGGAGTTTGAAACTAAAACAACTTCCACTCGCAAGGAACATTCTTCTGAGGCCTACCGGGAGTTTCTTCAATTCCTTGAACTTGGGTGCGCTGGATCACCTATCAGTGGGTATCCGACGGTCCTTGTTGCTTTGTCGACAATTCCCTCATCCGTATGTTCCTTATTGCGACATGTTGCAATTAGTAATCTGTCTAGCAGGTCATCGCAGCATCCTCTAGGACGGGGATGCCCCTCGACGATTTCTTTACTTCGTTCTGGGCAGCGATTGACGGCCATGCTCTGAGTTCTTTAGAGAGAAAGGTCCCTTCTGCCTCATTCCTTTCGTCTCTCCTGGAATGTTTGGTGTTCTTCTTGAGAAGACTGTTGGGTGGATCCCAGGACCATGGAGCGTTATCTGGATCTGTTTCAGATGGTCTGGTGTCCAATAACACACGTCTACAAGACGTGGCAGATGAACTTGTCAGATCTCAATTCACGCGCATTTGGCAAGAGGTTAAAGCAAGGCGCTTAAGAGCTGACGAGAATGATGTGGGGAAGCTGATAGCCAATTCGTTACTATCTCTCCATCGTATGAACATCGGTGAGTGTATTACGTCCACCACCATCTTGATCTAGGACATATTCATATTTCCTTCAGATCTTTTCACCACTGCCTGGGATACTGTCTCGAGTGCAATTCTTTCTCAAGATGACGAGAGTCTCTCTCTTATACCTACGGTGCTCCGGACGTTTGTGGATACTTTTGAAACGACAGACCTTCCTGCGGATGTTACACGCACTCTCATAAGCAAATATGTGCAAGAAACTGTTGGGAATTGCGAGACAGTCCTTGCCTCCGATACGACCAGTGCTGGAGTATCGAAGAACATCGGCGTGGTGATCACACTAATGGAAACCTTTGGATCTCATCTATTCCAGCACACCGACTTCGCTGTGGTATGTAACCCTTCCCTTCTTTGCAGAACTACAGTTCTTAACTGTTGGCAGAGAATGGATAACATGTTCGTTAACAACGCGCTTCGCATTCTACAAGCTTCTCCTCAGGCGATATCTGCGTTCATGTCTCGTCGGAATGACGAGGATCTTTGTGTGGAACTATGGCATGTTCTACTGGTCGATGTTTCCCAGCAGATCGACATGTTGTCGTCACTGCTGGACGTGATTGACACAGACACATGTCCTAAATATTTACGGCCCGAGGACGGCGAGTTAGATGACGTCATAGAACACCTGTTCATCGAGGTGCTAAACGGAAATGTGTCGACTTCTCGCAGCGATTTGGTAAAGAGGCTCATCCAAGTACAAGGTGATTCCTCCTTTGGTCTGAGTGTTTTTTAATTGACTGTTTAATAGACTTTTTCCTCTCGGAGAACGGGCAAGATATTTTATTCCAGACGCTCGTATCGTCATTATCGTCCACTGTAGACGATATTCTGTACACAACGAATGCGCCGTTCACTGCGCTGGCCACTGTTATAGAGTTCACGCGCATCATGCTCAGCAAGAACCATAAACTTACCAATGACTCACTGGTATCTGTTCTCCCAAATGTCTTCATCGTAGGATATCTACTACCAGTAACGTTCCCCACATTGGAAACGCCTATCATCGATGCCGCACGAGGGGTTTGGAGTCTCTGTGTTTCGAAGCCAGATAATGGACTACAGGACGTCCTGAGCGGAATAATTAAAGAGAAATTGAAAGAGCTTTTTCAAGATTGCTCTACTTACACGCGGTTTGTGCGCCTTGCTATGTTTTGTTGCACTTCTGAACTGTCCATAGACCAGAAGATATTTTAACACTTTCAGGTCATAAGCCGAAAGGCATTGATATCGCCCCGCTTGCAGACGTCTTCCCTACACCAGGAGAATTTAACGCAATGATTAACTCGCTTCCATCAGATCCACCAGACCCTAGTCTTGCATTCATCGAGTCCATCATCCCGGCTATCTCGGAGTTTGAGAACCCAACTATCTCTGGCCTGGAATTCGATTCAAGGGGCTATTCAGCATACATCAGGGTTACGTCTGCTCTTCTGGCGTACTTGGGTGACAACCGAAGCATCGCTAAGGAGAATATGTGGGCACTTCGGCACATACTTATACTTGGCCAATACGCGAACGATCTTTTACGTGTCCCCGCAACTCCAAGTGGATTGTTTGGGCCAGATGTATCGCAGTCAGAACTGCGCAGGCTGCTAGGGAAGGTTCACCAACTTTCCACTTATCTCCTGTCTACAGGCGACGATGGTCTTCACAGTCAGGTTATCAGCGCTTGCATATCCAATCGTACGACAACTTCATCGGATGCTTTGGTGTCTTTTGTCGTAGACATCGTCAACCACGCCAAAAGGGAGGATGCTGTCAGAGATGCACTAGTGTTGCGCTCGGTGTTGAAGCACCTATTTGCGAGCGCTAGCAAAACAGATTCTGACCAATGGTTGGATCTAGCTCGTAGGCTGGAAAAGACAGGTGCGCCACATAAATCACGTCGCAGTCAATGTTCGCACAATAATACACATGTAGCGCCCCAAACTACCGTGGCCATCCTTGCCAGCATCACTGAATTTGCTCCGGAACCGTTGAGAATGGACCGTTACCGCAACGAGATTGCTTCGGATGTCCTGGGAGTGCCTGCGAGCAGAGCAAACACGACAGGAGTCGTCCTGCTTCGTCGTCTTGCAGCGACAGCCCCTGATTCTGAGTCTGATGTGGTGTTCTTGCCACAGCAGCGCGCTGTCAACGTCGTGAAGACTTGTCAAACTTGGATTTCTTCCGACGAAGATATTGATGAAGATGTGGAGAGTATGATGCCACTTTTGTTCATCCATTTGTCCCCGATTTTGCAGAACGTTGCTGGGAACCATTGGGAGTTTATCTTTGATGTGGTTGAGAACAACTTAGAGGTGTGTCAACCAGTCGTAACAAGTCGTCGTCATACTCATTGCTGAGTTACGCCCAGACATGTTCTTTTGCCGATAGCGCAACACTGACGATGTTGGGGAGATCGCTTCGTCTTGTCCTTACTATTCAGGATCTGGTCCTGACCAACAAACCACTGCGCGCAAGCTGGGATGGGAGGAAAGAATCTATTTTGGCGCTTGTCAAGAACTTGGTATCCATGAAACTTGGTCAGTCTCAACTCAGAGCAGTAGGGCATGACGCTGAAGTAATCACAGATAATACCGATCGTTCTGAGCCACGTTCTCTGTGCAGGGAACTGGCACTTGCAGTCATTCAAGGGTTGCCTGATGCATTGATGAACGAGAAAACTCTGCCTGAAGTGATATTTTGAATGATTTTCGAGTGCTTATGCTAATGCTTGATGTCTAGATGTGTCACCTCCTCACTGATCCTTCCTACGAAGTTCAGCGCATGGGGTACAGCCTTTTGCACAAAGCAGCTCGAAAGCGGACCGAATACTTTGTCATCGAATCTGCTGTTGACACAGAAGACAACGTCAGCGCTGAAATACCTGCTGAACTTCTTGCGATTTTGCAATCGAATCTCGCGTTGGCAGAGGGATTCCACGATTCTGAATCAGACAATGTCAAGATGGATTTGTCAGAACTTTACGCAGTTTCCGGTTATCTACTAGCATGGATGATCATGTTTGATCTATTTATCGATGCCGTGAGTACTGATCTAGTGCTAAAATTATTATTAGCTAACGCACGCTTCAGTCTATCAAAGTCAGGTCGCAGTACTTTAATCAAATGAGGAGCCTTGGTATCATCGGGGATTTCTTCATTCCTAATGTTTTCGATGTTCTCAATCTGTTCAGTGGAAAGAAGAAGGCATTCAAACTTGATATATGGGCAGTCGACGACTTTTTCATTGAACGTCAGTGGTTCTATCCTGTATCATGTCTTCGAATTAACTCTCTCCAGACTTCGAGCCCGAGAGCGTGCTCAGCCTACGACTTCTAGCCGCTCATATCTATCATCGAGCGCTTCTGACGGTCCCAGCATTGATACGATCCTGGATCTCAGACTGTTCAGACAGACAGCTGTTATCGCGCGTGGTGGACTACACTGCTTCATACTTCTCACCAGGCATTATCAAAGCCGAGCTTACACAAGTGCGGCAGGCTGATCCATCATCAGAGCTGCATACAACGGAGAATCTCGTCATTAAAGTGTCGCCGAGCGCTGGAGAGGTCACGGCCTCCTACACAGTCGATGATCAAGTGCTGGAATTGTCTCTGAGATTGCCAAACGACTGGCCATTGCACCGACTTGATATCCGTGATACGAAGATGGTCGGGGTATCTGAAGATAGATGGAGAGCTTGGGTGTTGGGGGTACAGCAAATTGTTTGGCAACAAGTAAGCGATATGGCAACGATAAATGCTGGTCACTTTAACGAGTTACACACAGAACGGTCGGATTGTCGACGGTCTAACAGTATTCACGAAGAATGTGACCCTCCATTTTGCTGGTCAAGTGGAGTGTGCGATCTGTTATTCGTACGCAAGCTCTTTGTACGATTGTATCGGTGCTTACTTTGGAACAGGATTATCAGCGTCATGGACAGCAGCCTTCCACAAAAGCCTTGCAAGACCTGCAAGAACCGTTTCCATGCAAGTTGCTTGTACAAAGTGAGTACCAGACAACGGGACCCTTCCAACGATCTAAATTGGTCTCCAGTGGTTTAAAAGCAGCCATTCATCAAGCTGTCCGCTTTGCCGATCTGACATACTGTGAAAAACCATGTCTAGTGTCTCGATAGCGAATTGACTCCGAGGATTAGTAAATGACTCCTACTGATATGAATGCATTCCGATGAGGTTCCTCCTGTATGAAAATATCAATAGCCTTTGCATGACAGCCTCTAGGCTTAAGCTGGACCTGGGGATCTATTATGCTTTTGGAGATAATCTACCATGATCCAGAACGTCCCAGCCTAAACACCTGACAAGCAGAAGGTCTCCGAGGGACCGTGCCCATCGGACATGCAACGATCCATGGTGGGCGGCCTCGCCGTATTCGGAGTGTCCACCACTATCTTGCCATCTTAACAGATGTTTTAACACTCAAGTCAAAGGGTATGGGTGAATACTTCCCAGGTATCGCTTATTCTTGCTGCTTCTTTCCAGAGTCAGACTAGCTACCGGTCATGGGATATACACACACTGGTTAACCGAAAATTTAAAATTGCAACTGACTCGAACATGCTTATCTCTGGGTCTTCCATTTCCCGAAGGTTCGTGCCGTGAACGCCGTGTTAGTGTAAACTTGAGTCATATTTCCTTGCCACGGGCGCCTGAGTTAACGGGTCTATTGAGCAATACTTGAAACCTGGCACCAAAGTGCATACGTGACCGACTCCAATTTCGAGTGCGTCGAGTCACCAACTGAAACTCCAGTCGTTCATATGTGCACTTCCTGCCATCGATTTCGTATTCTCATATGTATTCCAGGGAGAAGTCGAAACAGCCGCAAGTTGGGCCGGCGTCATTACAAATTTTTCGGCTTATTATTAACGTGATTAGGCGATCAGTTGATCACCTGCCGTTGAGCGTTGGTCATCTAGGTTGATTACAGCAAATGTTTGATTCTTGAGCTATGTCAATGCAGGCTAGACCATGGGGCTGGACTGGAGTCGTAAGAAAAACAAAAGGAACACCCTTTTTAGCGGGAGCCTGAGACTGAACGGGAAATCCCGACAGGCATTTTTCACTGACCAACAAGTCACTAGTCAATGGCGGCGGTGATGCCGTTGATTGGCATGGAAGACGCACAGCTGTATGGGAATGCGGATCTCATCTTACACGACACTTTTCAGCGCTTTATATGCCAAGTTGCCAAGTCTGTCAGCTGGAAACTACAAATAAAGAGGGTAGACTGTACTTGTCTCGATGCAGGTTAGTCCCGTGCTGTAGCAGCAGGTTCCCGGAGTGCTCTTGTGATGCCCTTGGCTTCTGGCCTTGCGGCTTCCAAAATTAGCACTCCGATCATAAAGAGGCTCTCTGTTTGAAACCTCACCGCTTTGAGGTTATCTCCTCATTGTCGGAGCATGTAGGTACAAAGCGTATTCTTCGGCTGTCTATAAAAGTTTTGTTTACCGTTTCAACCATGTGTTCCTTGCTTTCCTCGCTGCCACCCTTTCTCGCACCTCCCGTGGATCCACATTCCTGTCCATTCCATTGTCCTTTGTCCATGACTACTGCTGCACTCACTTACAGTGCCGATGCGCACATCCGGCAGTCGGCATCTTCAATAACATTTGCCACTCCCTCAATGTGGACACAAGAATTTCATCTTGAAACCGATCCACGTTTCGCGTTCGCGCGTGTAAAGGGCGATATATGTCTGGTCCAATGTGCGTTCTCACCAGTCATAATACCTGATTGTAGCCTGATACAATCGTCTATGATCTGCGTAGTGCATCCAATCCAATCCGAGACATCTTTAGGGATCATCGTTTTTCGGCACGAGTTCGTGTCCATCTTCCGGTATTCCCATGACCTACGCGTGTCCCCCGAGGACATTCGTGTTCTCGAGCTTCTTGACGAGGACCGGATACGCTATGAGGAAGACAACGGCACGGTCTTCCTGGCAAAGGATCTTATGGCTCAACTTCGAAGGATGATTGATGCAAGTAACATGATTAGACTGCAAAGGGGAAGATACCGGGGGTACAGAAGACGGTCAAATTAGGTGGTCACAGGTGACGAGAGACTCGATATTCATGGTTTGAACAGTACAATATATCATATGTAAGCACTCACGTATTTATGGGCTGGTTAGCAGTGTGTTTGTATACCCTATGTAGCATTATGGTAATTGTACTCGCATCGACGAGGGACGCTTGTCTTGATTTGACAAGTTCATTGCAGCTCAGCTCGACCTTCACTAATCCTTCAAGATTGTGATACCCTCCTGACGCCACAGCACGGCCGTCCACGTGCGAGAAATGTGTCGTCGGTAAATTTTACAGTTGTCGATCGTCGAATCAATTATGCGGAGCGAGTTAGCTGCAAGCCCTAAAGCCGATTGTTGTCATCCGGAAGAATCGGAAACACATCACTGAATTCTGGGTGTGGGGAACGTCAGTATTAATGACACCTTTATACGTGTCATTGCGGTCACTTTCTCCAGTATAGAAACCCAGCTCCAAGTGAGGACTCCTCTGAGGTCAGCAGGAGTAGATATTTACCCTCTCCAGGCGTAAATCCTAAAAAGCGATCAGTCAGTTGATCGTCGAGGATTTGTTATACCAGAGGAAAAAGCCGGACATAGTCGGTCAGATGATCGTCGAGAATTTGTTATACTCAATCAAGTTGTGTGGCCGGGTCAAAGGCAATCACACGGGAGACAGCTAGCGGGTTAAAAAAAGACTACGAGCAAGGACTGCACCGAACGAATGACCTGCCATAATCGGGCTTGCGGGTCCGAGTGCTCCGAGTCAATCACGGCTTCCTCTGGACACGCGACTTGTCGCGGTTCGCCTTGAGGAATGTGATGGACGGTCCGGATAACTTGCTCTAATTCCGCTCTACGGACTTCAGGCTAAACAAGCCGGAGACTGACATGTTCGTCTAGATTTATCCAGCTTCGATAGGTGAACAATACTGGAACGATCATTTGTGGGAACTTGGCGTACCATAATTCTGACCATTCTAAGTTTCTAACCAGTAAAAGTCTCTTTGGATTCCGTCCATGCGAGACTGAGAGTGTGTCATCTCGATGTTCAATTGCATCATATGATAGCCACGCACGTGAGGAAAACTTTGACCTCGATCTTACCAAATAGGGAAGGCCACCCGGTGATAGTGATCTTCGACTTTGGACTTGACTTCAGCTGTAACTTTGCCTTGTGGTAATTTGTGCGTTACGACTTGTGGCATAAATTGGATACGTCATATACATAAAGTCAGTCTATGGCCTTACCATCTTGACACTCGCAGGGGACAAGGTGTTCACCTGATTCTCGAGGTTCTCTCTCTGTTCGCGGCATCCTCATCGAGTTCCAACACATAACCCGGTAACTTCAACATCAGCTGGGTATTTCATGCGACTCGATCGATGGTCAACCTATTGTACAGTGGGTCTAGAGCAATACAAATGAATAGAGGGCTCAACCGCTTGCTGACTATGAGTAGACGAGACTCGTAGGCTCGGAACGGACACTGTCGCTGCATTAGGACACCTTGTGCCTGGTGGCTACGCCAAGTAACTTTTGACTGCCACAGCATGCGCCGCATACAAGCAAGACTGGTTGATATACCCCTTCGTGTTTGCCACATATAGGTCGGGTGCCTCTCTTTCCAATAATCCTGATATCGGTGTCTGTGGCAGCCCTCCACATACGTGTTTCGTCATATTACACGCGTCACGCCACAAATAATCTGCCAGACCTCAGAATTCAATATCCAGCAGCAACGCGGTGACGTAAACACAGCATCCTGCTGTACAAGCCACCTCGGGAACTTTTGAACCGGATCTCCCTACTGACACGATACTATGCCACAACATTTTCCTGTCTTCTATTCTGGTTGCATCCATTCCTTTCTAACATGAAGCGGTAATTTCTTTTGTCCCACACGAAATTGATTGATGGCATCACAACGATAGGCTGCAAGTGCTGTATCGGGCGGTGCCAACACATTGCCGCAATGATGTCCACCATGATGTCATGCTCTCCATGCATTTCACGTACATGGTTCATCTTGGCGGTTGAACTATGTACAGGGTCGTGCATCAGAGAACGAGCAAATGAACACGCTGATTATTCCTCGCGACAAGGGTAGACTCCGAGATATTCCCCTGGGCAGCCATGCGCATGTATACTCCAAAGTGGAGGATCACCAATATTAAGCTCAAGCGCCCCGAGAGTTCGCAGCTTCATGCTCATACCCCGTTTCATCCTATACCAGCGCCCCCTTCTCTTGGCTATTCATGGCCGTTTGACCAAGACAGCGAAGGTGAGCGGGCAGAGGTTGTGACATCGACACTAGAACCTGGCTATTGGAGAGTACCACTGATGTGGCATTCTATATCGATGCAGAGATACCACATTTTGCGATGGCCCTCCCATTATACCAGTGATCTCGCTGATCCATGTACTTACAAGGACAACAGTCTCCGTCATCACGTCATGCGTGATTGCATGATCCAGTGTGGAGTAAGTATAAGGTCAAATATACCTCGCCGTTATCGAATATTCAAGTTGCCGGAAGAATTGAGGCCTCGAAGTTGGCACCAATCAACAAATAACTTGTCTCTCGTAAATTGCAATGTCAAAGGGTAATCGAAGACGACTGACGTACACGTCGATAGGTCCTAGTAAGGATCTGATTTACCTATCTTCTTGTACAATATTTTCTCGAGCCTCCTCGCCAATGCGTAGGTGATAACTCCTACCACAAACCCTACGAGCACACCAACGTCTCCACTGCCATGCCTCGCTACTGGTCCTACATACCAAGCTTGTGACATGAATGGAACAAGAGCTCCACATGCACACACGAAGGCCACTACCGCGGGGATACCGCTAGGCAAGAGAGCGTATGAAGCCCAAATCGTGATGGGGTATTGGTCCTCAGAAAATGATGCTCGTCGGAATAACATATGCTCTGTGAGTATTATCGCAGCGAATATTGATGACCAATATCCAATGATGTCTGAGAGATCAGCATGTTAGTGCGAACATTAGATACCGATATTTGGAACTTGTACTAAGCATGTCCACGAAGGTAGCATAGAACCTTTTGGCACCAATAATGGCCACTGGTATGAGGCTGGAATCCAAATCATGAGCATCGCTGAGGTTTGCATCGACTTGATAGTACTCACATTCCCTCTGACAGGAGGATATATACCCATCTAGGCACCGCAGCAAACCAGGTAGCAATAGCCATGAAACTGTTGCTCAACGTATATATCGGTGGTGCACATGCACTGGATATGCTGAGAGCGACCAAAACAGTCATAATTTTGCCAAATGCGCCTGTAGGTAACAAGACGCTGTGTAACAAGCCACCGACGGAAGAGCTGTTATCAAATCCTGCGTTCCAAGCAGGCACACTCGGAGCTGCTGCTGCGAATGCGGCACCCAGAACCTGACCAGTCACCTTTTCAAAAGAAAATTGTCAAAATGTAACTGATACAGACATCAATGGCTTACATTAGATACGAAGAACCCAAGATATGTGTAAATAAAAATTCTAGCACTATCAGAATGTCAAGTAGAGTCCTGGTGATGACCTGGGAAAGCTCACGAAGAAGCATCGGGGCTATGGTATACGCCATAATCAGGGATCATGGGACACCATCCAATAATGTTAGATGCGAGAAAGGACGCAAAAGACATGACATTAGCAGGTGTTGCTGGAGGGACGGGAGCCGATAGGTTTTCGCGTAGTTGTGGATAACCGACAGCCAACATGGCGATAAAGGCAATTACATTCGGGATCCAGGCGACACTTTCGTACCTATAAATCAAACATTCGCTCAGATTCTGGATGACTGGTATTGGAGTGTTCCCACCAATGGATGACGCGGTATCCACAGAAAGTAACCTTAAAATCTGTCATTTTTTGTGCAGCAGGAGCAGTTCTGACATACCACAAGAGATATGATACTGAGGATGACGATACCAAGGGTATCATCAAGTCGAGAAGACAAGCTAGCTATCGTTTGTCCGCCAATAATGCAGTTCAAAATAAGGAAGCCTTCCAAGGAGAGAACATTCAGAACGGCCGGTATGATGGCACCAAAATACCTTGATATCCGTCAGGGGATGATACTGGCAATCGGAAAAAGTTACTCACCCCCATGAAAACCTTGCTTGTACCATAGCTCGCATGCCAAGCTTTGGCCCGAAAACAGCGCTAGCACATTATGGAGTCCCTATAGATGTGTAAAGAATAGAAAGACTCACAAGAATCCTGGCAATAAACAACATCTAGCTGAAGGTCAATCGCTGCAGATCGAGATTTTGTGAATTGACTTACACCAGGTCAACAGTGACGATGATAGCTATGGAGTCACGAACTCCCAGGGAAAAAAATGCAGGGCCAGCGGTCCCACTGCTGAATCTGCAGGTGTTAGGTGAATCAGCGAATTGTACCAGAATTAAGACAGTACTGAAAACGCACCCCAGGATGTTCATGCAAGGGGAGAACCAGATGAAAAATAACTGGTACCATCGAGTGTCGAGACGTTCGTCTGCTGGCACCGGCGCGATGCTTATCCAAGAATCAGCAAAAATGCTAAGACAGGTATCACAACAACCCGGGCATCTCACTCACCCACGAGTTTCAATTCCATACCTAGAAAGTAACTGAGTAGTACGTCTAAGGAATCCTACCTGATCTGAGCGACCATTGTCCTCTATACTATCATCCCTGGTACGCTCATCAGAGAACACACTGGATCTGGAACGGTAGTTCAACGGACCTGTCCTGTTTCCGCTCCATCGTGTAAGACTGCATTGAGCGAGTAGGAATTGACCTGATTCAGGATAATTGACGTGCAACAGCGTCAGTGAGCCTGAGTGCCAGTGCCAGATGAGTCAGGCGAAAGTAAAGCGAGTAGGATCCGGCCCGGGATCATACTGGCACATCGAAACAGCATGATCTTTAATTGATCAATCAAGTTTCTCGATCTGTGTCATTCCCAAGCCTTCAAGTTAGGAACGACGCAGTATGATTCAAGATAGTAGTAGTACATGTCACACATGTTCCTCCGAGTCGCGTTCACGGGTACACCATCAAGAAAAGTCCCGGGCAAGGGCCGTGGACACTGGACAACTTGAAAATTTCAAGTTGCTTGCGGCAGTCAAAGTTATCTCATCAAGCCTTCCAACCGTGACTCGAGTCAGCCATTCTGTATTTACTTCCAGCAGGTGACCAGCACTATCAACTTACCCAAGCCATTGACTTCGGCCGTCATGCCTCCTCAGCGCCGCGCACCCATTGAATATGATTGTGATGCGTGTGGAGCTCATAATGTTGATGCTATTCGTTTGACGAGGCATCGAAACCAGTGCAAAGCAATGCGCACCAGAGCCCGCCGTGCCTACGAGAAGTGCGTACAGCTTTACGAAAAGCGTCTGGCAGCCAAAGTGCGTGCAAAGGTGGAGAAATTAGCCTCTGTCAGGGCTGCGGCATCGCATCCAATGCCAACCACTCAAACACTCACAGGCCGCACTACCAGTGGCAATCATAGCTATTGCAGGGACTTGGCGGATTTGGGCGAAGGTTCTGTGAGTACCGTGCATTTCAAGTTGGATCGCGCTGGGCATACTGATTTTAATTATTTCCTATCAGTCAAAGGGCCCTTTCACTCCGAGTTATCCGGTCCCTGAGCCTCTACCAAGATTGACACCTCCGCTGCCCCATACCCCATCATTCTTACTCGAACACCACACGGACGCTAGTACCTGTGTTCAGGAAGACGTGCATGACTTCGACATGTGCTATGCCCCGCAGTCGCCCCCTCCACAAAACCCCTCCGTTGCTCAAATTCCCCTGATTCCGCCGTCACAGATCAAACGGATACGAAAACCGGCTAGAGTCAGAGCGGACTCCCAGTCATCTGCGGCAGATGACTCTGAAGATGGCCATCTCACAAAATCGTGCGTAAGTGCTTTCGTGAGCAGTGCTGATTGTGACGTACTATTGTCTCCTAGCGTGAAAAAAGACTCGGATCCCATGAAATCAAAAGGCCGAATATTTGGCCGGATTGGTGAGATGTGGCGGCCATTTGCCAGTATACTGGATGATAGTTTGGGCCGGGAGCCCGATGACGATGCCCAGGCTTACACAACTATGTCAGTTTGCTACATTTTTGCGTTCATTTGTTTACGTTGTTTCGTCAGCCAAAACATCCACTACGAGATTTACCGGGAGCTTGTCAAAATAGCTCCTGGTATTCCCGATGAAATTAGGCGTCTTGGAGCTCAAGGCACTGCGACCATGAGCGCTAAGGTTCGTGAATGTTTGAGCAATCGATATCTTGCTGACCAGTTGACGTACTAGTTGGAAGCTGGTCGACGTGGCTCCCGCAGCGAAGACATAAATTCTATGAAGGACAAGATTGGCCGGTGGCGCACTTTTGTACCACCTTACAATCCTGACAATTGATCCATGCTCGGTTTCAAGCATCCTGACTGCGGAAAGCTTTTGTGCCCTGCAAGTTTGGACTGGAATGATTCAAGGCATGTAGCTTACTGTCACGCTTCTAGCATACTGAAACTACCGGCAGCGTTCGCAAATTTGCGCGACGGCATTACGAAAGCGAGGCCCGATGATTTCCCGCTATTCCTTTACTCAGACGAGCAAGTAGATACTGAGGATCTTTTCCATGGCTTCCTACGGAATATGATTCTTGTTAAGGCTGGTGACGCTCACGTTTGTTTCATTTCAAAGCTGAGCGTGTTTCGTATAGGGATATCTTCACGTCTTTCGCGGCCCAAGTACCGCGACGAATTCAGCACGATCAGGCACACGCAAAGGCAATGCAGCCACTCACTCCATTAATAAGGTTTCTGTTCCTTCCATAGCTTATATTGCCACACTGGTGAGTCGCAACTTGGACAACTTTTGACTCTGTACCCTGATATGAATTTATCAATCCTGTTTAGATCCGTTTTGTGCTTTCCGATCAACCGACGTTCAGCGCTGGAGGGACTTCTGGTCACTGGCCATATCGGACATTCTATCGCACACTTCTGGAGGTTGTCAGTATCATGGATTCTCACGAGCGAGAGGATCTGTTAAATTGGTGGAACGAGTGCGTCATCTTACTCCCGTTTTCACACTATCCCAACATTTATGTAGCAAAATCTATGCTGACTTCGCGGACCTTGAGGAGGAAAACGACGGCGTGTTGAGTATGGCTGCTCGGATGAAAGCCCAAGCTACCGCGAGTATTTCGGGGTCACGGCCAAGGCCCAGGCCAGTGGCTGTCAACCGTGAAAATCGTGACAATGTGCTGGAATCAATTGGTACGAGCTAGAGCCAGCGAGATGGTTGTCAGTTTGTACTATCATATGCTCAATAATGTGTTTTATTTGGTTTACATTCTATGGGTATTGTAAGCCTCGAGTGACATTCCAATTTCGCGACACTATGGTAGGTTGATTTTATGGGTGTTGTAAGCCTCGAGTGATATTCCAAATTTCGCGACACTATGGTAGGTTGATTGCAAGTGAATTGCAAGAACGACACATATGTACCAGAATTCCGTTAACGATCACATATCTGTATAACTATTGCACGTATTGCAGCTACATTGCAACGGAGTTATAACGTAGGTGGACAAATGGCGGGTGCTCCTAGGCGATTGCAACGATTGGCAGTTGGAACTTGATTACGAGCGCTTGGCAAAATCCGGAGTTTCTCCCTGATGACCGTGACATGACATGTCGATATCATAAACTAGTATTCAATATTCATTTTCCGAAAACTATTTTATCTCTTCAGGGTCACAGAACAGTTCATGTACACGCATACTGTTTACCTTAAAAACAACTACTACTAGGCATCCGACTTATTCATCTTTTTGTACCACAGTTTTTCGAAACCCCTTGCCAATGCGTATGTTATAGCCCCCACCACAAACCCTACGTATACCCCAACATCTCCACTGCCATGCCTGGCCACTGGTCCTACATACCAAGCCTGCGACATGAATGGAACAAGGGCTCCACAGCCGCACGCGAAGGCCACGACCGCGGGAATACCGCTAGGCAAAAGAGTATATGAAGCCCAAGTCGTGATAGGATATTGATCCTCAGAAAACGAGGCTCGCCGAAATAACACGTGTTCTGTAAGAATAATCGCAGCAAATACTGACGACCAGTATCCGATGAGATCTGAGGAGTCAGCATTTTAGTGATAGTGACAGATATCGCGATATTCGGGACTCGTACCGAGGATGTCAACGACAGTGTTATAAAACTTTTTGGCGCCAATAATGGCTACTGGTATCAGACTTCAACACAAATAATGAGTGTCACGGGAATTCGCGACGCTGAAGATACTTACACTGCTTCAGAGATGAGAATATATATCCATCTAGGTATTCCAGCAAACCACGGAGCCATAGTCATGAAACTGGTGCTAAACGTATACATATTTGGTGCACAAATGCTGGGTATACTGAGAGCCACCAGAGTGACAAGAATTTTTCCAAATGCGCCTGTAGGTAGCAGCACACTGTATAACAAGCCACCGACGGAAGAGCTGTTGTTAAATCCTGCATTCCAAACAGGCACGTTAGGAGCTGCGGCTGCGAACGCAGCACCGAGAGTATGGCAAGCCACCTTTTCAAGATGTTACGATGATGCTGGTAACAGTACGTAGGGACTTACATTAGAAGTGAAAAACGCGATATACGTGTAGAGAAAAAGTCTTGTACTATAAGGATGTTAACGAGAGCCTGTGAGTGGTCTGAGGGAACTTACGAAGAAGCAGCAGGGCTGTGGTATACACCATAGTCGGGGGTCACGGTACACCAGCTGATAATGCTAGATGTGAGGATAGACGAAAAAGAGATAACCTCAGCGACAGTTGCTTGAGAAACAGGGGTTGATTGGTTGTCGCGTAGTTGTGGATAACCGACACCCAGCATGGTGATAAGAGCAATCACATTTGGGATCCAGGCGATACTTTCGTACCTAGAATCAAAATTGGATCACAATTATATGAATAGTACATGGTCAAGTGATCCCACCAATGAATGACGCGGTATCCACAGAAAGTGACCTGTGAAGCTTGACATTTTGATGCGATACCAACAAATTTGACGTACCACAAGAGTTATGACAGCAATGATAACGATACCAAGAGTATCATCAAGGTGAGAAGACAGGCTTGCGAGCGCTTGTCCACCAATGATGCAGCCCAGGACAAGGAAGCCTTGCAGGGAGAAAACATTTAAAACGGCCGGTATGATGGCACCGAAATACCTTGATATCTGTCAGGCAATGATACTGGCAATCGGAAAAACAACTCACCCCCATGAGAACCTTGCCTGTACCATAGCTCGCGTGCCAAGCTTTGGCCCAAAAACAGCACTATACATTCATCAGTTCCAAGAAACGTCCAGATAATAATATTTAAGCTCACGAGAACGCAGGCAACAAGCAGACCCTAGTTATAATTCACACCAGTTTATTGTCGTATCAACTATTGGCACTTACACCAGGTCAACAACGACAATGATGATTATAGAATCATTAACTCCCAGGGAAAAAAATGCAGGTCCCACAGTGCCAACGCTGAATCTGTAGATGTCAAGTGACTCAGCAGATAGCAAGAGAGTCGAAAGTTGAGTCAGGACTTGTAACGCACGTCCCGATATTCATATTAACAGAAAACCATACGAAAAACATTTGGTACCATCGAGTGTCTATGCGTTCCTCTGCTGGTACCGGGGCGATGCTGATCCGAGTAACAGGTAGAAATGCTTTCAAGTTAGACATTGGAGATATCATAACGGCACCATCTCACTCACCCATGAGTTTCAATTCCATATCGAGAGAGTAACTGGGTGGCACGTCTGAGAAACCCTGTATAATACTGACCGCCCTCCAGATCATTGCCCACAGGCTTATCAGAGGCCAAGTCCGGTGTCACAGAACTGGAGCGGGACTCTCCCTGTTTCTGTTCCACAAACTCGGACTGCATTGTGAGTAACGATTGACCTGAATTTCTGCTTGGATGTAGTACGCGTCGTGAGGGTACTAGCTGGGTTGTAGTTGCCGTTATGCCGCAGTTGTTTTGAAGTCTAACTGTTTGGAGCATTCTTAAATCGGATCCGGTTTGATGAAAGCCTCGCCTAACGACCAATGCTATGATGTCGGCGCTTGTTGAGTACCTGGAACCCGGAAGAAACAGGACCGCGTGGCTCACAGGTCAGAAACGCAGTAAGTAAATTTTAGGATCATAATAGTGCATTTACTTTGCAAACGATGATGCATATAGACGACATACATGCTGATTCGCCACATCCCTCCGGGCATCCCAGGACCTCCATCAGTTACCAGGGAGAAGTCAACAGAATGCAAACCATATAAAGATAACATTCAATGGCTTGTGAGATGATGATCCGCATCATGAGCCAAAATCTCAAGATGTTGCGGCTCGGAAAGCCCCGCACGTACGACACGAGGCAATGACATTAATGACCCATAGGATACTGCTTCAACACCGATAGGCGCGCTCGAAAAACCCAAAATACTTGGCACTGCGTATGAAGTCAAAAAAACGCTGGATGCAGGACAAAGAGAAGGAGAGGAATCAGCCAAGGATGACTAAGACGTCCGGAACCGGGATTAATTGAAACCGGCCCTGTGTGATCGGTACGACAGACATCCGGTCCTGGGACTAAGCTGCTAACGAGAGCTACTTCTGAGCGGGCTGACTCGGAGTAGCAAGTTAGACTTGCATCACCTTCTCTCTTCTACCGCATCCAACCATCTGCCAACTTTGTAATGGAGGTCAAATCAACAGCCGTTAAGCAGCACTCTCACCTGTCTTCGGATAGGACTTGGGTGGACCTTTTTCCTTCCCAAATACGACTTTACCTCTATCTAGCATGAATTCACAACCCTGCTGGAACACTTTTGCTGTTCTATCCATACGGTAAGCAGCTTTTGTGGCGTTGGTTTATTTGCCGTTGACTTGAGCAATAATAATTAGCATGGTCGGTCACCATGGCTTGCTACGCCCATAGCATGCCCGTCTCGACGGTGTAGACATGTTGGGTTGTTCCTTGTTGCTGCCCAAGTGTTCCACTCCGCTGGCTGTGTGATCAATGACATGTGGGACAAAGACGTTGACGCTGCCATTCGTAAGTGGTACATTCAGTCAAGTGGTGGCTCCCAATAACACTTTCACTGCCAGCGCGAACAAGCACACGTCCCTTGGCTTCGGGTGATGTCTCAATGTTCGGTAGATTTTTCGCCAAGAATACTTATGGGCGCGAAATACTTACCAATGTTGCACAATATCTCAAGGCAACACCAATCGAGAAACGCATGCGTACTGACAAGGAGCACTTGAGTGCACTTGTGGGCTTAGTATGTGTTTTCCTCATTACACCATTATGAATGACAACTCTGGTTGCTCATAGATCGACGCCCGTGCCAGTCTCTTTCGTGGAAATATCAAGGATGCAGCCTGCAAGAACATTGCAGGCTACTTTCGGCTCGGCCTGAACTGCAGTGCCATCCTCGAGTGCCTTCTTCCGGATCATCTATACATTTTCCCGCAGACCTTTGACGTTTGTTTTCGTTTTTAGCACAGTTTTAACAAGTAGTTAGTTCCAATTGAAACCTAATTGATTTGAACATCGTGTGTGATATTAAGCCTGAAAAAACACGTCCAGTACAGCTACAGGATGCTCATAACTTTCAGTGGGATGCTACAAAACTTTCAATAATTAGCTCTAGGATCGTAAAATTAGTGCTAATTAGCAGGGCACATCATCTAATTCATATAATTAGTGAAAGTTGGACTAATTTTCGAAAATTTGTGAACTTTGTGGGGGCTATCGGGCAGCAGTTTCGGTGAGAGCGTGAGAGAGAATGTTTGCATTGACTGGATGCAGATAGCTATTTGGGCGGAGCCGCGAGAGGGGCACCCGGCCCCGATAGCGGCCCAAACCTGTGCAAGAGTGAGCCGAGGTGGGCTGCGAATCCCAAGGAAGTAGGAATGAATGCGACGCAGCGAAGGAAGCCTCCGATCCCCACAGTCGTAGGAGCTGAAGAGCGACGCAATGAGGTGAGGAAACAAGGAGCATGATAGAAAAGGTAGCTCAGCAAGAGGTAGTGTAGCACGAGGCAGCTTGGTGAGAGGTAGCTTGATGAGAGGTAGCAGGTAAGAGGTAGCATGGCGGCATCGCCGAAGTGAAAGCGTGGCAGCATCGCCGAAGAGGAAGCGAGGCATCCGCATAAGTAAAATGCGGGCAAAAGCAATATTGGGAGGGCAAAAGCGGTACTTAGGGATAGCTCACCACATGAAATTGTGGACGCTAGGTGGAAGTCCCTTCCACTTATCAGGTTTTTCTGCCTCAGCGGACTGAGAAAACCCGACGAGAGTTTGCAGTTGCAAACTTCCTGCATGGGTAAACATGAGAGAGCGGTGCTGCAGCACCCTGTGAAGCTCCCGACCCATGGCCAACTTCCCCGCCGGACTTGTCTTCATTGTATGCGGATGCATACAAGGATCCGAGCCTTCAGAGCTCACCGAGTTGGCAGCATAGGACCGGGAATAGACCAGGTTCCGAAATTAGAAAGTCGGTAGTCGAAGTTCCAGGCCGAGATTTGAGATCCGAGAAAGACTGGTGAAAGTGCGAGAAAGAAACAACAGCAAGAGACAGATGATGAGAAAGAAAGGGAAATGGTGAGAAAAGAAAAGCAGAAGGCAGCAGCCAGGCAGGACTCAGGAGCCTGCTGGAGTGTGGCCGAGTACGACGTACGGATTTGAATTTGAATTTTTATATTTGGCCATCTACGCTAACATAACGGAGACTGTCAAGAGCAGTCACACATCAACAGTTTAAATCGTCGTTCAAGCATCGTTTTATGATCCCTATTTAGTATGGTCTCGGACGAGCTGTATTTAGCATGTAACTAGACCAAAAATGTGTGCAACGGAGAACAAATGCAACAAGCGAGGAAGCGAGGAAATGATTGTCACTATCAGCGTGAAATCAGTCCGGATTATCATTGATTAGATGCGGGCAGTGGGTATGGTACAAATCTACTACTAATGCTAAACTCGTTTGCGAACCTCCTGCTGTACAGCCGCGAACCTTTCACGCAAAGTATCTGAAGGATGAATAGTTGTAGTAATGTAGTTCATGATCTCGTGGTAAGCATCATCAAAAATAGAGGAATTTACAGAGAAATCAACGAAATGACCAGTACGATGGGCATATAGCACGCAGCGGATTGTTGCGCCACATGCTGCGAACAAACGATCGAGTGGGCCCTTTACAATGTCCGATAATCCGTCTTTCAAAAGGTCAATGACCATGTTGATGAGAACTTCGTTCTCCAGTAATCGTCGAACCTCCGTGTCACCCATGCTCTGTGGCCGAGTGAGCGACACCCTACTGAATTGACGGAGACTGTCACCTCTTCAATATGGTGAAGGTATCTCGAATCCTCTAGTAGAACACTGACTCTATCTCGCCCATGCGCTGACTCATCCTGTTCCGAAAACAGTGGCAGGCGCAGACCATAGCCAACTGGAACTGTTTTCATCGCGTAAGCTTTGAACCCGCGTCGCATATCTGCTATTGCGGCCACCATAAAATTGTTGATACCCTTGATATCCTCGATTTCCGCTATGACCTCAGTATCAGTACATTTGAGATTCGGAAAGCAATGAAACACACCTTGACCAAATTGTTCAATTTTCGTGGCTTGCAACGCATTGCGTATCATCTTATCGCGAAGCTCATCATTCGGGGCACCATCTGTTTCCGCATCCATGTTCAGTAGAAGCGCCCGAAGCTTACTCTTTGCGGTTTCTTTCAACTTTCGGGCTGATTTCGTCGAGAGCTTTATGCGAGTCGAAATGGGCGGGTCCACAATTGACCCAGACCCCTCGGGCAAATCAGGTGCAGCGGCAGGATCAGCTGACAGTAGCTCTGGCGTGGGAGGAAGTCTCGCATTACGTCGTCGTCTCCCGCTGTCGGAGACATGTTTTTGAGTCTGTATATCATAGGTAAACACTCAAAAACGAACACTCAAATATAACTTACTCGAATAACACCCTGGGTTCTCTCCCCACGGATGTTCTCTCCCAAGTGAAGGGGGGCCAGAGCGACAAGCCGCGCGGCCCCCCATGGGGCCAAAGACCCATTTCCGACCAAATCTGGTTGTGATGGCTGCCTTGACGATGGTTCGTGGAGGAGGGCAAATGCGCCAGCATATGCGTCGGCTAATGCTCTATCCTCGTCCCGATGGTGCATGGGCGGGGGTTGCTGATGGTGCATGGGTGGGGGTTGCTGATGGTGCATGGGCGGGGGTTGCTGATGGTGCATGAGTGGGTTGTGCTGATGGTGCATGGGCGGGTGCTGATGGTGCATGGGCGGGTGCTGCTGATGATGCATGGGTGGGGGTTGCTGATGGTGCATGACCAGGGGGTGCTGATGGTGCATGGCCGGGGGTTGCTGATGGTGCATGAGCGGAGCTTGGTGTTGAGGCTGGGAATATTGCGGCGGTGGGGGTTGATGGTAATGGGGCTCAAGTTGTGCATGATGCTGCTGTGAGATGGGCATCTGAATGCGATGTTCTGCGGGTGTCGTTGCGCGATCACCAGGTAAGGCGAGTTGATTGGCGACCGACTGGCCACTGGGATTAAGGTCCGAGTGAATCCCTGGCCGAAAACCCTTCTATAGATTGATCAGTAAGCATCGGCGACAGGATTGCAATTCCAACACGTACCCTTGCAGCGTTGGGCTTTCGCCTACCAGTAGATCTTGCTGATGGCGGAGGGGGGTCCATTGATGTCGTGGTGCTAGTCAAGTGTTGCTTACAGTTAGTTAGTCACAACTTGTCAGCGAGCGCAAACTTTATCATATCATCGATCGATGAAATACAACTCCTACTATTCAATCCGATATAGTACAGTGTACAGATGGGAAATTTCATGAATAGAATGGTACCAAGAAAGGATTATCGATGGCTGCGTCTGACGGCACTTGTGAGCAATGATCAATCTGAGAAGGTAAGCTTGTGAGTTATTTGTATAATCTAGGGAGATAGAGCTTTCTACCTTCCAATTCGGCGTCAGAATAATCGGAATCGTCGGATCGTTCCCCATTGTCAGCCTCCTCCTCATCTTGCTCATACTCCGTGTCACTACTGTTTGGAAGCCTGTGAGAGACATATTTTGTTGCGAGTGGTGATACAGATGAAATTTGATAGAGCTGCTCATCAGCCGTAGCTAGGGAATCGAGCTCAGAATCGTGCGATTCCTCCAGGTATTCAGCATCCTGCTGTAGAGCCGGAAGATCTCGTCCCACTAAGAGCTTCTCGAAGAGGCGATAATCCGACTCTGCCATTTTCAGTCGCTTCTTCTCCTTCCGCTCAAATGCTTTGAGGAGTAGCTTGTTGTATTCTACCTCTTGGATCTCCCAACCGAGTTGCTTGACCTTGTGACGGTGGTTTTCTCGCGCAGCATGTTTGGCGTGTGCTGCCAACGTTATCGTGTCACTTGACAAAGACGAGAGACCACGCAAGAAAATGTCCCGCCCCTGCAATAGTTGAATAAAAATCATCAGTTCCTGAAAACAAGGGCCTACTTACCTTTATGGCATCAGTAAGTTTGATGTCAGGGGTTCCTCGGATTCCCTTCAGGGCAAAGCGCAGCTCCAGTTGGGTACTAGGAGCACCACGATGCAGGTATGGGTGACTCCTGCTTGCAGGTCGCATTCCACGCCGGGAACTGCGAGTGCTGCCAATAAGTGAATTGGCATCAGAATGGGTTGAAACCGGAGAGGAGGTCTCTGAGCGCAGGGAGGGGGGCTCAAGGGACGTGAGACCTGTGGTCAAAGTTATGACCTTCCCTTCAGTTATTTTGGAAGGGTCAGGAGTTTGGAGGGAGTCCACTCGAGTTCGACCACTGGAACCCGATGTTGTAGACGCAGACGATGAAAGAACGTCATTGAAAGAACCTGGAGTCATAGAAATATAATCTGTTATCTCTGCAGTGGTGAGTGTAGTACAGCAAAAATACAAGCTGGCGGAGTTTGAAGAACTTGGTGAATTTCCTCACTCCAAACGCACCGCAATGGGCTCGGAACTTGAGGGGTGCACTGCAACAGGTCTGGAAATACGCAATTGTCACAGGTGAGTTGTATCAAATGGTACAGCAGTAACTGACCAACTTTTTCAGTGGTCCGACATCTACAAAATGCCCGAATTGCGGACTCGAATTTGCATCAAATCTTGCTGTTGTAGATCATCTCAATGATCAGACACATTCTTGTTGGAACAGAGAGTCCACTTACCGCTTGCCAATCCCTCCAGCTTTCCAACGGGGAGACAACAACCGAGAAGAAGTCACTGGCCAGTACCATCCAAAGTCAGGCTACATTTTTGGACGGGGACGAAATATCTTGCAGGAAATGGAGGATCACGACTTAGATCAAAAGCGCCGCAGAGCAATAAATCCATCATACCCTTTTGTTGATCAGGCTGAATGGCAGCTAGCAGAGTTCCTCGTTCAACGGCTGACACAAACCGATATTAACAAATTTCTGAAACTAGACTGGGTGAGTAGCATTATCTGTTTCTGCAGTTTTGACTGTACTAACTCTGAGCTTCGCACAAGTTCAAAAATAGACCCAGGCCATCCTTCAAGAGCGCAGATCAACTATTTGGCTGGATTGATGCGCTACCAAGCGGCCCAGAGTGGCAATCAACGACACTCGAGTTTACCAACTACACAACTGCAAGGCCAATCGAGCTAATCTGGCGTGACGGTCTCGAAGTCGTCAAAGATCTCTTTGCAAACCCGATCTTTTCCAATCATATGATGTATGATCCTCACATTGTTACCACTGGCTCAGAACGCGAATATGGCGAGTTTTTTACAGCTAACATGGCTTTCGATATTCAGGTAGGGCTCCTTAACAGCGGTAAAGTGGTATTGCTCAGTGTTCTATGCCAGAACAACCTTCCAGAAGGTGCCACTATGGTACCAATCATCCTCGCATCCGACAAGACGCCCATAACCAGGATGTCGGGAGGATTAGAAATGCACCCGGTGTTCCTTACGATTGCCAATATTCAATCTGAAGTTCGTATGAAGGCCACCGCTCATGCATGGCGCTGTGTTGCATTTATCCCGATTCCGAAGTTTGATGTTCACGCGGATTTCCAAACACTCCTCCATGCTCGCCTGTTCCACAAGTGCATGGACATGATATTTGCCAAATGCAAGGTGGCTGCGAGGGTCGGTGAATACATGTCGGACTCCATGGGTTATATCCGGCATTGCTTCACTCCGCTCGTCGCATATACAGCTGATCTCCCTGAGGCACAGCTCATCGCTTGTGTCTCAAAAAATGCGTCACCACTTACGATGGCAACCCAAAGCGACTTTGGTAGTGCTCAACTTTTCCCCCGTCGAACAGGCGACCATACGCTCAAGCTCATCTACGACCTATGCAAACGTGTTGATCCATGGAATGTACCACTCTTCCAACGCGAAGCTAAAGCATTGCTGCTTAGCGGCGTTCATCAGCCATATTGGAGAGATTGGCCGCATGCAGATCCAAGTCATTTTTTGCCCGGCGAACTGCTTCACACCTGTCACAAATATTTTGGTGACCATCCTTTAAAGTGGTGCAAGGAAGTTGTCGGGGAGGATGAACTTGATGCTCGCTACAAGGCTCATCATAAACGAGTCGGAACACGTCATTTTGGGTCTGGTGTCTCCCACATCAACCAGATGACGTGCCGGGAGCATTGTGACATTGAACGGACCATTGTCGCCACAGTCGCTGGTGCAGCAAACACAACCCCTGATTTCGTCCATGCCATTCGTTTCCTCACCGAATTCATTTACCAGGCACAGAGCCCCGTGCACACTGACTCGTCCATTGATGCTATGGTGCACTCCCTCCACATGTTTCATACGCTGAAGCAAGCGATACTCGATGCCGGTGCTCGGAGAGGGAAGAGTGGAATGATCGATAACTTCCTCATCCCCAAAATGGAGTTGTTTCACAGCTTTGCGGGGTCCATCAGAGATCTCGGAGGTTTGATACAGTACTCAGCGGATGTTAGTGAGCGACTCCTGATCACACACTGCAAATTTCCATTCGAAAGGACTAGTCGGCAAGCCAGGAATTTTACCTTACAGGTCGTCCAAATTCTCAATCGTGACGAAACCATGCGACGCTTCAATCTTTATACCCTTTTGCATTCGCATGGTACACCGCTCGTGAATGCCATCGCAATCGAAGACAATATCGTCACGGAGACAGATCCTACTTTGGCCTGGATAGCGCGTGTGCTTCCCGGCGAGCAGAATCGCTTCCATGGCCCGCGACCTGTCCGCAACCATTTTTTGAAGGGAATACTTTCTGTTGAAGCTAATGCCGCATTTCATGTCACCATCTCTCCCGATTGAAAGTCACTTTCTATCACTGATCTGCAATCTATCTACTCTCTCCCAAATTTCGGCGCAGTGCTCATGGAATATATCAATGACTCGTCCCAAAACACCCCAACAACAGCCTGGACGTGTGCGCGAGATTCAGTCAGGACATGGAACAAGTTTCGTTTACAGCTACACTCTACCTTCCAGTCGCGAGTTGTGATGCCGAGTCAAATCGTCCAAGCGTTTCCACCATCAGAGACCTTCCCTATGGGCAATTGTGATGCAGTTCTCGTGCAATTGCCTGGCAATGATGGTAAGTATTTAACTGCTGGCGTCATCCATGTGCTTACAAGCCTGTGCAGATACATACATTGCGCAAGTGCGTTGTGTTTTTCAAGCTATTGCCAGGAAAGGTCAAACCCTGCCCCACTATCTTAAAGACTCGCCCCTTCTATACGTTCAGTACTTTCAGATCACAGCAACACCTACTGAGGATGCAAGCGCTGGCATGTACCGAGTGAAACGCATCTACCATCAGGATGGAACAGGTCGGATCTTCCGACCTGGCAGCATCATTCCGCTGACAGCCGTTACCTGTGCTGTTGAGCTGATCCCTATGTATGGTTCGAAGATGGATCGCATGATAAATGCTACGAACGCAATGGAGATCTGTGATGAATACTACTTGAATACATTTTCGGACAAGGAAGTTTTCAATACAATGCACAGTGGTTTGATGTAGATTTGCATTTGCCTACAATACAATTGATTATCTGCGTTCTAATCGTGTTGATAAGTAAGATAGCACAATCTAGCCTGATCGCATTCATTTCCGTAGAACATAATCATCGTCTGAGCTCTCCACCAATCAGACGAGTGCGCTACTGAAGTCGTAAGCATTCGTAAGTGTTCGTAACGCGCTTAAGCTAAGCGTTCATTTCAGCGGTTTTACTGATGCATGCTGCACTGACGCCGGCACAAAGTCCTTACTCTAACCCTATGCTCGTGCCTCGCTTCGGGATAGACCACCAAAATTTGTTCTAACTAGAGCGGGAGGTTTTTATGCTCATCTCTTCAGGGTCACAGAACAGTTCATGTACACGCATACTGTTTACCTTAAAAACAACAACAACTAGGCATCTGATTTACTCATCTTTTTGTACCACCATTTTTCGAAACCCCTTGCCAATGCGTATGTTATAGCCCCCACCACAAACCCTACGTATACCCCAACATCTCCACTGCCATGCCTGGCCACTGGTCCTACATACCAAGCCTGCGACATGAATGGAACAAGGGCTCCACAGCCGCACGCGAATGCCACGACCGCGGGAATACCGCTAGGCAAAAGAGTATACGAAGCCCAAGTCGCGATAGGATATTGATCCTCAGAAAACGAGGCTCGCCGAAATAGCACATGTTCTGTAAGGATAATCGCAGCAAATACTGACGACCAGTATCCGATGAGATCTGAAACCAAGGGGTCAACATTGCGATAGTGACAGATATCGCGATATTCGGGACTCGTACTGAGGATGTCAACGAAAGTGGTATAAAACTTTTTAGCGCCAATAATGGCTACTGGTATCAGACTTCAACACAAATAATCAGTAGTCACGGAAGTTCACGACGCTGAAGATACTTACACTGCTTCAGAGATGAGAATATATATCCATCTAGGTATTCCAGCAAACCACGGAGCGACAGCCATGAAACTGGTGCTGAACGTATACATGGTTGGTGCACAAGCGCTGGGTGTAGTGAGAGCCACCAGAGTGACAAGAATTTTTCCAAATGCGCCTGTAGGTAGCAGCACACTGTAAAACAAGCCACCGACGGAAGAGCTGTTGTTAAATCCTCCATTCCAAACAGGCACGTTGGGAGCTGCGGCCGCGAACTGCAGCACCGAGGGTATGGCAAGCCACCTTTTCAAGATGTTACGATGACGCTGGTAACAGTACATAGGGGCTTACACTAGAGATGAAAAACGCGAGATATGTGTAGAGAAAAAGTCTCGCACTATAAGGATGTTAACGAGCCCGTGAGTGGTCTGAGGGAACTCACGAAGAAGCAGCAGGGCTGTGGTATACACCATAGTCGGGGGTCACGGTACACCAACTGATAATGCTAGATGTGAGGATAGACGAAAAAGAGATAACCTCAGCGACAGTTGCTTGAGAAACAGGAGTTGATTGGTTGTCGCGTAGTTGTGGATAACCGACACCCAGCATGGTGATAAGAGCAATCACATTTGGGATCCAGGCGATACTTTCGTACCTAGAATCAAAATTGTATCACAATTATACGAATAGTACATGGTCAAGTGATCCCACCAATGAATGACGCGGTATCCACAGAAAGTGACCTGTGAAGCTTGACATTTTGATGCGATATCAACAAATTTGACGTACCACAAGAGATACAACAGCAATGATAACGATACCAAGAGTATCATCAAGGTGAGAAGACAGGCTTGCGAGCGCTTGTCCACCAACGATGCAGTTCAGGATAAGGAAGCCTTGCAAGGAGAAAACATTTAAGACGGCCGGTATGATGGCACCGAAATACCTTAATATCTGTCAGTGCAATGATACTGGCAATCGGAAAAACAACTCACCCCCATGAGAACCTTGCCTGTACTATAGTTCGCGTGCCAAGCTTTGGCCCAAAAATAGCACTATACATTCATCAGTCCCGAGGAACGTCCAGATAATAATAGTCAAGCTCACGAGAACGCAGGCAACAAGCAGATCCTAGTTATAGTTCATAGCGAATTGATATTCATAAAGACTATTGACACTTACACCAGGTCAACAACGACAATAATGATTATAGAATCATTAACTCCCAGGGAAAAAAATGCAGGTCCCACAGTGCCAGTGCTGAATCTGCAGATGTCAAGTGACTTAGCAGATAGCAAGAAAATCGAGAGTCGATATAGGGCTCAAAACGCACGTTAAGATATTCATATTGGCAGAAAACCATACGAAAAACATTTGATACCATCGAGTGTCTATACGTTCCTCTGCTGGTACCGGGGTGATGCTGATCCGAGTGACAGGTAGAAATGCTTTCAAGTTAGACATCGGAGATATCATAACGACACCATCTCACTCACCCATGAGTTTCAATTCCATATCGAGAAAGTAACTGGGTGGCACGTCTGAGAAACCCTGTATAATACTGACCGCCCTCCAGATCATTGCCCACAGGCTTATCAGAGGCCAAATCCGGTGTCACAGAACTGGAGCGGGACTCTCCCTGCTTCTGTTCCACAAACTCGGACTGCATTGTGTGAGCAACGATTGACCTGAATTTCTGCTTGGATGTACGCGTCGTGAGGGTAACCAGCTGGGTTCTAGTTGCCCTTGGTCCTTGGAGCATTCTTAAATCGGATCCGGTTTGATGAAACGTTATCCTAACGGCCAATGCCATGTGGCATGATGTCGGCGCTTCCAAGTACCTGGGATCCGGAAGAAACAGGACCGGGTGGCTTCATACCCAGAAACGCAACGAGCAAACTAGGATCGTGTGCAACATGATGAACATTGTAAGAATAGACGACATATATGCTGACTAAGCTACTAATGAGCTACACTTCTGAGCTCGGCTGAGTAGTAAGTTAGACACACGAATTCATCATGGTGCCAAACATCTCGAGGCCCACTGGTAGAAGTACTAGTACAGTGTGGCTCAGTGTCACATCTGCCGGTGTTGTTTCAATGCCGCAACAATTTGAGGACGGTTCTAGAATCAAATTTGCACCATCATGATCATTCTCTATATAAGAAGCACCTACTATGTGTACCAGGTAGTGAGGGTAGAGGACAAGTGTCGAGGCTGCTGCGCCAGGCCAAAGATAGTAAGTAGAACGAAAGACATTGCGCGGTCAAGGAACTGATTTACAGGATATTGCAACTGTTGGATCAGTGGATTATTAACACATACAGGTCCTTCCACTGTGAGTATTACGGTTCACGAATTCTTGAAATGAGCATGGCAATGACAAAACTTCAACGCCGTTCCGTCATTTCGTGGGCCTGAGAGAGGCTTCGAGATACTTCGTCGGCCAGTAGATGATGTATGTGCAAATGCCAATCAACAGTGGCAGGGAGTTGAGAAGGTAGAAGTAGACTTGTCAGGCAAGGGTCATACCAAGCGCCCCAATTTTAGTATCTCCCAATACTCACTTTCATGGGTGACAAGATAACCGCCATTACCTTGAGCAAACTCGATGACACGATAGATACTGCGAATCTGTATCGCGCAACATTAGTAAAGACGGACGATAAAGGTGGGTGAAAGGCGCACCATGTAGGCTGTTGAAGAAAGCGTCAATATCCAAAGAATTGGCCCCATGGCTCTTGATGGAGCAGAAAACCATCTCGGAGGACACCACGCCATATATGGGCACATAGGATCATAGGATCATGAAGAACGCAAATGAGAGTGTTTGAATGACTAATCCGGAGAGAAGTATGTTCGCGCCCAGTTTCTCAAATTTTGTCGACACTTCCAGACCACCACCTACACCCTGCACAGCATCGTCGTGTAAACGAGACAAATGATCAAACTTCAAGCTTGTATGAAGAATGTCGTGATAACGCTGATAACGACGTACCGGGCAACTTTTTCTGGCTTTATCCAAGAGGAGCATCTGTCAATGCAGATCGCGACGAAACGCCCGTAAAGGATGTAATTGAAGGCAAGGTATGCAGCAGGCGGTAACAAGGTGAGGAATTGTTGGACCATGAAAATCGGGAGAGAACTTGGGTTTATCGCCATGAGTATGCGCATAAAAAAGCCAATGGACATCCCTGTTTTAACAGTCAACACTCATTTCGAGGTGGGTCGTGAGAACTTACAGGTTGAGGCTACTGGGAGACAAAGTCCCCACCATGTCTTGTTCATGAATAAGCGCACAAACAGGCAAAGGCTGGCAATGAAGTACGACCCGCCTGCCACAGCTGCTATAGCTTTGTCTGGGTTGTATCCTGAATAAAATGGATCAGACACAATCCGCAAGATGATGCTTTGTGGACTGACTCAATATTTCAAAGACCATTGTTGGCTCCTCGACACTGATTGAGCCTTTGTCGCTGGCTATTGTATTTAAACATTGAGTCCAACAAATATTGAAAGATTACTGACCTGCCCTCACCACGTCCATGAGGAAGGTAATAATGATCAGAATGTTCGCAAAGTGCATGTCCCTTGTGACTGGAGGTTTGGGTGTAAAAAGACGACTAGATGGGGCAACTCTCAAGGGTTATATACCCCAAATGCGAGATGATCCAGCATCGATGACCTTCCCGAAGAAGCGAAGATCAAAATAAGAGTCCCCGTGGCAGCAACTGTGAAAGATAGCGTGTTCAAGCAGTAGGTGATTAGCGCAGTAATCTTTGAACGTCGCTCCAAAGGGACTCAGGAGTAATATGTATGTCATTAATGACGGAAGCCGACGCAATGCGTTTCCCGTGAGAAGGGGAACTGAGCACTGCTGGCTGGTGACGTGCCACCGGACGACATCGGACAAGAAAGCAAATTGTTATTCGTCAAGTACCGCAGTTGATGTGCTCACCAGAGCGCTAAGTTGAAATACCCTCAATACGCAAACGCGATTGATACATAACTAGAGAATCGGCAATCGATCCTGTGTCGCACCGAAGGAGAGCACAGATCTCGTCAAGTTCAGTTCAAGTTACATTTTGTGATGAAATGAACAACCCACCGTATCGCAAGTGGTTATTCGCCCTCTACCTTCTCTTCTACATATGCAGCTTGGCGTTCCTATCATCTGAGTTACACGATAATATCACAGGGCCGCCATGTCCGAGACAATATTTGACTCGAGTGGTAAATGAAGATCATGTTGATTTGCTGAGCACCTGGCTTGCTCAATTGGTAGGCCTCCTTATGCTGGGCAGTGAGAATATGATATGTTCCAGATTTTGGAATGGAGAAGAGGCGAATGATGCGGTATCCTATACCGTTAGCCTCAGGCTGTCCGTCGAATTCAGTGCCAACTCATTCCGAATGATGAGGATCTTGAATTTTAAACTATGCATGGTGGTCGTCAATCATCGATGGATGCAATAAATATCTTTGTTCGATCTTGAACGATGAATTTCATTGCCTCGATTCTACCAGAAGGGTATGAACGTATTTGGAGTTTGCACGACAATGTTGGTATCATATGTCGATGGCTTCTCCTAGGAAGTATGATATTGTACCTGAGCCGGGCTGGTGACCTCTGGTTCTGGTTAAAGGACATTCATCCGAAGCGAGTTCGTGATTGGGTTAGGTACGGGCAGAGAACGGAACACTCTAGCGCTGAATTCGGTCGGAGGTTTATTACATTAGGCGTAGCGCCGTGCGGCACGGACTGAAACCACCTTCCGGCGTAGAAAAGTCCGGTCCAGCAAGTGTGGCGGAGAGCGTTGACAAAAGCGAGCACGTCGGTCATTGAAAATAAAGGTAAATAAAGTGTATGTCAAGTGTATGTCCCCGTAGTGAACTTGCAACATCCTTCGACACTCTATCCAACAGCTTGCAGCTATTTACATGATTATACCGTACGAATTTGATGAGTGTACACTGACTGTACGTGCCGATAAGATTAATATGTACCTAGGTTATTCGAAAATCCGCCACCTGGCCGCCCCCGGACTGCAGACATTCGCTCTGAATAGATAAAACACTACATGATGATTGTAGTTATTCAAACTGAGTATTGTATATAAAAGATCCTGACCTTTCATCCTCAAGGTGTGTTGTGCACACCTAAGTCTTCTAAGTTTGTTACTTGCGACGACCGCCTCAGCTTGGGTAAAGCGTGCCTATGAGAGGGCAACATCGACATTGGTGCCTCCAACATCGCTTGCCGTTATTTGGTCCCCAGCATCAGCATCTTCCTGCCCCTGACCCAAGGCCGCAGCAACACGGTCACGGTCATTCATCCCTGCAATCGCCTCCTCCGCGACGGTCATAAGCTCCATCAACGATTCTGCACCCAACAGTCAATTGATACCATTAGACAACCAAAGCAAATTCGGGGCTCACTCTCAATGCTTAACGTGATGAGCGTCTGAAAGGTTCAGTGGTTGATTTCACAACTTTTCAACGAAAGGTAAGCGAAGGCCAACTTACCCGCCTGGTATCCTTATCCCTCAAAATATCCATTTTGACGCTCGCCTTCATATTATCCGCGCCAACCACATCATCCAAGAGCGCCTTCAGCTGCTCATTCACGTATGCGTTCGTACCACTGCCACTGTTCCCCAGATAGCGCATGTACTCCTGGAATGAACGCGCCTCGTTTAAGACGCGCTGCGGGAGTGTCTCGAGCAAGTCCTGCGCACGTAGATTGGGATCCCCTACATTTATTTCTGTGTTTTGTGGTTGCTGGCTTCCCTCGCCGCCATCGTCGTCCTGCTCAACAAAAGTTGTGCGTGGTCGGAGACCTGAGGAAGGAGCGTGGGGTTGGAATCGCACGTTTGGAGAGGCTGGAGTCAACGGTTGTGTCTCAATCTGGGTCGGGTTTTGGGCTTGACTCGGAGGCTGGGGTTCAGACAGGGACTGGGTCCTCGTCATATACACATTTTTTGTGCGAGTGCGGTACGTCGTGACGGCTCGCTCGAAAGAGTCGCATTGGAGCATCGCCTTATAGCGCTTGGAGTAGGCCTCGGAAGCGACTGCGATCGAACATCACATCGAGACATTGAAATATAGATGTGAGCATCAGAATAACGAAGAATATGTATGCAATTAGAGGGGATTAAATATCAAGATAAATGTTAGTGAAGAGCTGTAAAGAAAGAATAAGTACGCACCAGAAATCAATACGGTCACTGTGGCAACGCCGAGTAGGGCCCATACGACAAACACAGATCGCCCTGCAGGCGTTTTGGGCGCGGGATCACCATACCCAATCGTTGTGAATGCAATAAAACCTGAACATCACATTGCAAGTCAAGATCAGATGTTTCAAGGACACGAACTTGAAAGCCTTACAGAAATATATAGACAAGCCATATGGCCAACCTTCGGTCAGACTAAATATTGCAGAGCCAACCTAAGGCATTTGTCAGATCGCTCGATATATATATGGTGTTGGGGGCGAAATCGCAGCGAAACTCACCAACCAGAACACAATGAAGAATGTCCATGCCAAGGACGAGCGCACGAAAAGAGCATACTTCTCCTTGCTCGCGACCATCGAATCATATTTGTCATTTATATCGTCGCTGCTCGATGTCGTAGCGAACGTCGTAGAGCTTTCAGTGTCATGTTCATCTTCAACTGAGACGTCCGCGCCAGTGCTCAAGCCACGTTTATCATTCAAAGCAGAGTCTTCGCTGGGACTTTTGACATCACCGACAGTGGCCTGTAGTATAGGTCCTTTGTGGTCCAGAGAAACACCAATTGCAAATCTCGTTAGGAGCGCTGCCATGGCACCGAGCCGCTGGTGCGTTAGCATTCGATGCGCACCGCGCCGTACATTCATACCATACACTGAATGCGGGGCAGACAAAGCAGGGTATATGCTCCCAATCTTCTCCTGTAATGAGTACCACATGAAAGAAAGGCAGAAAAAACACTTACCTCCAAGTCATCACTATTGTCGTCGTCGTCGTCGTTCTGCATCTGCGCTTCGTAAAACTGTGGCGGGAGCAGTGTATCAAGTGGAACGCCCGCTTCCATGGCCGCCGCTTTCAACTCGGCATGTGTGAGCGCTTCCAGGTTCAAACGTTTTCCACGGAAATGATCCAAGGGGTGTGGGATCCTTTCTGCGGCACTAAAGAATCTTCTCTTCACCTTGGCCCAGAAAGAGTTGGATGTCGAGCGGCATTTTCGAACCCACACTTTTGCACCTTTGTCTCGCAATCTCCAAATGACCGCCGAACGCCACCGCCTTTCTGCATTCCTTCGTCGCCGTGCGGCACGTCTTCGTTCTCGAATATCTTGTAGGCGACGAAAATAGCCGATATGTAGCCCTTCCCTCACCGTCTCTTGTACCATGCCCACCACCACGGCAAGATTCACGATACCAAACGCAGCGTAAAAGCATATGAATATCCTTGATCCGGGAGTATCAGGCACAATGTCGCCAAAGCCAATAGTTTCGATTGTCGTCACGGTGAAGTAAAGCGCGTTGATAAAGCTCAAAGAAAGTAGGAATGAATTGACTAAAGAGCCGAATGCGATGTAAACAAATAGGATTATGATTATGATCATTAGCGTGCGCTGTTTGCGGGTGAGGCCACTACCTGTATGATGTTAGAGCGGCGAGTGAAGAGAATAGGATACGGGATACATACCACTTGTCTTGAAATCAGGAGTGCAAATGAAGTCTATGATAAGGCTTACATTGGTGATGACCGATATGACTGTGGAGCAGACAGTCATCCAGAAGGCTTCGCCGTAGGTGAACCCGTCGTTAAATCGGTGGCTCACGCCAAAGATGATGAGAGCGACGATATTGATAATATCTATACCTCAGGTTAATAAATGTCTTTTGCTGAAACTGAGGCACGAACCGTGGATAGACAGAAACACAATACATAGTATTGTCATTGTCACGACTCGCTTCTCAAGAAACCTTAGGATGATGCATATATTAGCGAGGACAGCGCAAGTCATACTAAATGCAAGACCGATATCCAATAAGACTGGGTTAGCACGAGTCTGGACGGTATTATAATTCTCGGTACGGATGTACCAGTACCCGGTAAGCCCTGGAATCTCGAGCAATATCGAGAATGGTACCACGATGCCAGTGAAAAGGGGAGTGCACCGGTAGTTTGGTGCGTAGGACAAGTCGTCCGACGACGGCGGAAACACGAATGTCTTCACTCGAGTAAAGAATGACGGACGTTTGTAAGGAGAATCGATGGAAAGTAGGTCAGTCTGCGGGCCTGAGACAGATTCGTCTGGAGGTGGGCCGCTATCCTCATTGTCGTCAACGTCCACGGCCAGGTGCATTTCCTGGGCCATGTCTTTCTTCTCGCCCGTGTCCTCTTCCTTGTCGTTGTGAGCGCGAGTGCCCGGGTTCCTCTGTACATTGGGAGTTTCATTGAGGGTCTCCGGGCCCTTCTCTGGATCAGATTGCTGTGTCCTGGTAGATATGAAGGCAAATATGAGGGCTATCAGGGTCTGTAAGGCCATGGGTGATACATGGATGTGTAAGGGGGGTGATAGGGATGGTGCACTATCACTGCATGCAATTATATCAATGGTCGAGGGTCATAACTCTTGTTTAGTGCAATACAGAAAAGGTTACCGTCGGCTTAATGGTCCGCTCCATTGTCTCACGTCATCACGTTGATCCGGGGTGGACCAGCCCGAGACCCCGAGCGCTTCAGCCTTTCAGCCTAAATAAAAATATCATTCGTACCATAATGCCCTTCGTATGCTATCCCACAGAACAGCTAGCACATTGGTTTCCGTGCACTGGTTGTTGGTATATAAATATCTTTTACTGGATACAAAATATCTGCATAATTTTACTACTCGTCTAGTTATTGGTGAACGGTAAGTATGCAGCTTGAAAAGACTGTATATACATAAGAACTTTCACAATCTTCGACGATTCTTGATCATGATATATTGGACCGATTCCACTGAGGTGACATAGCAATACGCAGGGGTTAGGAACATAGCAAACGTGAATGTAGCTTTGACTATCAAGTCATGTAATGATTTTTAATAGAAAATGGCACAGCAACCAAGCCTAGCTCTCGGAGGGATGAACCGTGATCAATATTTCTTGACATTTCGCCTAGGAGGTCAGCCTCCCACGAACTACGACTCCCCCAATCTCCTTCCAGACCCCCATCTATGTCCTGTCACCCGCCCTGATGCAGCAGCTTCCTCAGCACGCTGCCTTGGTGCAAACGCCTGCACGGCACCCCTTCTGCTTCCAGCACGTCCGTATTCTTCGCGCTCGCCAAACCAGCTCTTCAACCACGCAGGAGCACGTCCCCACCCAGCGTACATGCCCTGTTCAACACCGCCTGAGCCGATGCCGGACCCCCAGACTAGCCACCACCACGCGTGTCCGACAAGCATCCCGCTCACGCCCTGCGCAGCGGCACTTGGCCCACCCGTGAGGAGGTCCATGCCTAAGAGTGCGTATGGGAAGTATGCGACAGGGATGGTAATGAGTCCCATGACACTGGTTAGTGCGCCTGGCGGGGAAAGAGAACACATTAAATAGGTGAGAGTATGAAGCAAGGCGCGGGTATGCGTGTAGGATTGGATAGGACGGTTCACACCCTATGAGTATTAATCGCGAATGTGAAATCTGAGGTCATGGATAGCGCAAATGATATATGGGACGTACGACAAGAGCGAGGCTAGCAAGAAAGAGTTGCCAGGCGTAATCGGAAGAGCGACGCTCGTAATGAGTTGATTCAAGCGCGTTTGAGTTGCGGCTTCAAACCACGAATTGTCGGTTTCTCGATCAAGGGAAAACGACATATGGTACTTACTAGAGCATGGCAAGCTCGAAAATATAGTTCAGGTTCATACCTGAAACGTGTGGTGAGCTCGCATAGCGTCACATATTCCATAATGACAAGACACTCACTTCCGAAGAAGCAACTTGTGTACAATCTCCAGAACTATGAATTATGTCAAGGACCGTTAGGCTCATTGACAGATCTTCGGCCACATAAATAAGAACAAGCATAGGACACACCTCAAATTCTTTAATAACAGCCTGTGACAAGAATACAAGCCTCCATGGCGAGACAAGGTGCAGAATGGCTGGGAGTGTGATGCCGAGAGACGATGCAACGAGAAAGCGCGTCACTGGCGGGATTTTTCGAATTTCAGTGAGAATTTCGGCCATTGAGAGTGGAACAATGGATGATGGGTGAGCTTCGATGGAAAATGGCCAATACTTGAAGCTTAAGGACTATTGTAGGTGACGTTGAACTAGGCTAATATTTCCGGTGAAGTCGACGTGTTCAAGTTTCAATCCTGACTAAGCAAGCGGCATTTACGAAATTCATTCCCTCTGGTTGCCCTCACTGTGAAGTATAGCGGCCGCGGTCCTCGTTTAGCACAAACCACAATCCCCTGCGTTGCGCATTCAGACGTGAGTAATATGGCACTGTATAAATATGAGCATTGACCTGATGTGCTTCTAATGACCACGATTCATCATTCCTGAAGTGACTCAGACTCTGCCTCATACTTGTTGGGGTGTCATGCCAGTGCAGCTCTCCACGGACGACGATCTTGATAGTCCACCACCCTCTAATCGCAACCTCTCCCTGTCCCCTTTGTTGTACTTAGTCAAAGCATTCCTTTCTCTCACTCCTCCGCGCTGGAAACCAGCCATATATGATGCTATTATCGGAAATCGTTACATGTGTACCTCCCTGTACCATGACATTTTCCGTCTCCCCTTTGGACTCGTTTTGGAGGTCGTGAAAAAACCCAGTTACGTCGAAGCAGATGCTCTGCGTTTCGTCAGCACCTTGCAAGATATCCACGCTCCTCGTTACATCGACAGCGTATCGAGCCAGTACAAAAGCTATCTCCTCACTACTTGGGTAGAAGGTGACTGCGTGGGTGACGTATGGGATGATCTGACCGCGTCGGATAAGGAAAGGTTAGCGCACGATTTGCGCCACCAACTAAGTTCGATGAGACTTCAGACCCGGTCTTACGAGCTTCGTGCCGTCTGCAACGCTCCAGGTGGTCCTGTTGACGATCCACGCATTCCTTGGGTGGCTCGGGAGAATCTCCGAATGTTTCCATCCTCTCAAGACTTCGCTGCGAGATTGGTCAATGAATCGCGACACGTTGCAACCCTTACTATGACCTCTCATCGAGCGCGACGGAGTTCCTATCGTATTTAGTCATGGGGATCTTCTTCCAAAGAATTTGATTTTTCCGGGTGGCCTCAATCATTGGCGATCGGGCGGAGAGAAGATTTGCATCATCGATTGGGAGTACGCTGGGTGGATGCCAATTTTCTGGGATGCATTAAAGGCGACATGGTTGGAGTGCGAACCTGATACAGAGTGGTTGCAAATGATGCGGACGATTTTCCCTGACTGCATTGAGGAATTGGATGCTGATTGGCAGTGGCGAAGTCGTTCGAGAGTTACGATCCTTTAGAGGTAAATCTTTTGACAGTAGGCACCAGCGTAACCCCCTCAGCAAACTGGACAAGCGGAGTGAGTCAGTTATCTCGGGAGCTGCGCGCTGGTAGGTGACTCATGAATTTTACACTCTTCCAGTAGCAGTTCTCTCATGATAGTGGTATTTGCGATGCCTTCCAGGCGTTTTATGTTCCCCGCAATCAGTTTGACAAGGGTGCCGACGCGCGGCAGGACTTGTTACTGGACAACATCCTTGTCAATATTTACCTTATTGTGTGACTTTTGATGTCATTTGACAGCTTGCCGGGTGAGGTATGGGATCATGCCATGCCAAGTTTCGAATTTTCACATGCCTAGTTACGAAGAGTCATTCAATGCGGGACCGCGATTATATTCCAAAATCACAGATTCACCACTGCGCCCACGAAAATGGAGAAATAAAAGGACGTATTTTTGTTCCAGTCAGCGTATCACTTCGCGGGTGAATCATGGATCCTACACCATTGGTAAGTCAACCTCGTTGGATAACAACTAAACGATCACTGAGATTTTGGCTTGACGCTTTCAAGGCGAACCCCAGCAACATCATTACCTATGATCAGGTGTCAGACATAGATGTGAACTGCACAAAGGTAGTTTTCTGATCTTTCTTACTGTCATCGCTCATCGTCTGCTCAGATACATCAAGTTATGTCATCAACGCATATTGCAGCCGAAATTCCGGTTGAAATCCTCTGCATCATCATGGAGCTTGTTATGCCACCGACTCAGCGTTTCCTAGATTCCCCTGTCATTGCTCGCGACAATCGTCACTCGCGGGTTTTTTCACTGCAGACTCTCAGGAACATTGTACTAGTATCCAGGCACTGGTATAATGTCGGCATTAGCTACCTCTATCGCCATGTTGTCATTCTACAGAGCAAGCAACTCTTCGCGCTTGCACGTGTCGTCTCGAACAACCGCAGCCTCGGCGAGTTCATACTATCTCTGCGCCTGCAGTGTTATGTTTTAGAGTCGCAGATGGCTGCAGTCTCAATGGCTCTGGACGGCATCTTAGCGGTGACTCCAAATCATACCAAAGTTACTATTGCGCCCATCTTGAACAGATACCGCCCTTGGTTTGGTCACGAGTTTCTTCGCATGATCGCTCTCGCGCAGAACACCCCCTCTCGCACCACAGATATGCACTTCCGTATCAATCCCAGCCTAATAAACACCCTAAAGCTCATACCGACTTTCACATGCCTCACCACTTTCCATATTGATATGTTCCTCGGAGGAAACGATGCACTCCCCACCGAGCACATACATCTTGCCTTTTTGGAAGAGCTGCACATTACTTGGCAGCCACGTGGACATGTCAGGAACGTCTTTTCTGCACTAGCTGAGATCCTCAGTCTCCCCTCTCTTCGACGTCTCCTTTTGACATCACGAGATGTTGGGAATGGTGCGGTTCTTGAGCCACTGTTGCGCAAATTTGGACACGGTCTCCACTTTGTCTCGTTGGTTAGGAACCATCACTATTATTTTCGTTACAAGTATAGTATGCCTCCTCCTCCTCCCCCACCAGTGATTCCATTACTGTCGATGTGTCCAAATTTACGCCACCTCGCCACGGACACATATGGTCCAATTCGAATGCCTGCGCATGCACATTTGACATGGGTAGACTTATGGGTTTGGAGAGAATTTTTGAATCGGAGCGAACAGTCAGCGCTAGCTGTGACTCTCATTCCCTACGAAGAGAGAGTCAAGTTTCCTTCATTGCAAGGGGTGCGGTTACTTGACCTTTCTTTATTCCCGTTCAGTGGCGCCCACACGCCGCTCCTCATACCGCCAGATATGGTTGGGAGCACGGAGAGCGTCGCTTGGACTTATTCGAGTTTGGACTTGCGCCATGACCCTGGGTTACTTTATAGGCAAACTATAGACGACGTGCTAGCTGAGAGTCTGGAGCACAGGTTGTGACCAGGATCCATATGTTGTACGACGGGTTAGCGTGCGAGTCTTGAGTAGAGGACTATCATTACATATCGTTGGCTAGATCTGCAGTGCGTCGGCGACACTACCTCAGTATATATATTACCGTACTAATATATCTATGAGAAGTTGAAAACCTCAATTTCATGTGCGAAGTTGTTCAACTGGTACAAGTGCTGCTGAGCGACGTTGAGTCAAAATATTTTCCGAAGGCTTACTATGGAGTCGATTTTTCTTCTGTTTTGCTACAATAGTGCACGCATGTGCACAGGTAGCACATTTCAGCCAATTGATAATTTGTTTTGATGCACCATACTTGTCGTTAAATCTATGTTTTGGTGTGGTGCGGTAGTGATGCGGCATAAATCCCTGAGCGCTACACAGCCTCCGGGGGGCCTGTTCTGGTACCTGGTGACTAAGCAAGATGTTACTTCAAGTTTTACCAGTCGCCCTCAGCAAACCGGACAAGCGGGAGTGAGTGATAAAATGCTCCTTGTAGCATCTTACTGCCCTTCGGCATTCGAGTCGGCTGTCTCGGGACATGAATGCTAGTAATTGACTCATGAATTTTTGCACCCTCTGAGCAGCAGTTCTTCCATGATAGTGGGATTTACTACGATGAAGTTTCCAGGCGTTCTATGTTTCGCACGTCAGCGCAATCAGCTTGATGAGGGTACCGATGGCAACAGAACTCGTTACTGGACAACCGCATCTTTGTCAATGTGACCTTCGACAGCTTGCCGGGTGAGGTATGGGACCATGCACGCATCATATACCTCACGCCAAGAATTTTCACATCCCTAGTCGCGAAGAGTCATCGCGGGACCGCGATTGCACTCCAAAGTCACAGATCCATCACTACGGCTCCGAGAGCGGAGAGATAAAAAGACGTATTTTTGTTCCAGTCAGCGTATTCTTCGCGGGTGCATCATGGATCCTATACTATTGGTAAGTCGACCTCGTTGAATAATCAAACAATTACTGAGATTTTGCCTTGACGCTTCCAAGATGAACCCGAGCAGCACAATTGCCTATGATCAGGTGTCGGACATAGATGCGAATGCGAACTGCACAGAGGTAGTTTTCCTATCTTTCTTACTATCACTGCTCATCGTCTGCTCAGATACATCAAGTTCTGTCACCGACGCATATAACCGAAATTCCAGTTGAAATTCTCAGCGTTATCATGGAGTTCACCATACCACCGACTCAGTATTTCCTAGATTCCACTGTCATTGCTCGTGGCAATCGTTCCTCGCGGTCTTTTTCGCTGCAGACCCTTAGGAACATTGTGCTAGTATCCAGGTACTGGTATAATGTCGTCATCAACTTCCTCTATCGCCATGTTGTCATTCTACAGAGCAAGCAACTCTTCGCGCTTGCATATGCTGTTTCGAACAACCGCAGCCTTAGCGAGCTAATACTATCTCTGCACCTGCAGTGTTATGTTTCAGTGTCGCAGGCGGTTACAATCTCAATGACTCTGGACGACATCTTAGCGGTGACTCCAAATCTTACTAAAGTTACCATTGCGCCCATCTTGAAGAGAGACCACTTTTTTCTTGGTCACGAGTTTCTCCGCATGATCGCTCTCGCGCAGAACACCCCCTCTCGCACCACAGATCTGCACTTCCCTATCAATCCCACGCTTATAGAAACCCTGAACCTCTTGCCAGCTTTCACATGCCTCACTACTTTCCATATCGATATGTCCATCGGAAGAAACGATGCACTCCCCACCGGGCACACACATCTTGCCTTTTTGGAAGAGCTGCACATTACTTGGCAGCCGCACCAACACGTCATGAACGTCTTTTCTGCACTGGCTGAGATCCTCAGCCTCCCCTCTCTTCGATGTCTCCTTTTGACATCACAAGCTGCTGGCGGCGCGAGTGTTGAGCCACTGTTGCGTAAATTTGGACGCAGTCTCCACTTTGTCTCTTTGGTTAGGCCATACATAAAGAATGTCCATCTTAGGTTTGACTACTCTCCTCCCCCTCCCCCTGCCCCACTAGTGACTCCACTACTTTCCATGTGTCCAAATTTACGCCACCTCGCCACAGACACATTTTCCAATCCGAATGCTTATGCATGCACACTTGACATGGGTAGACTTATGGGTTCCGATAAAATTTTTGGATCCAAGCGAACAGTCAGCTGTTACTCTTGTTCCTCACGAAGAGAGAGTCAAGCTCCCTTCGTTGCGGGGGGTGCGGTTACTCGACCGTTCTTTATTCCCGTTCACTGGCGTGCGCACGCCGCTCCTCATACCGCCAGATATGGTTGGGAGTACGGAGAGCGTCGCTTGGACTTTTTTTTTTTTTTTTTAAATCATTGTTATTGTCCTTTGGGGTCATAGACCCTATGTCGGACATAGCCCTATTCGAGTGCGGGGGGCTTACTCCCGGCTAGCTATCGTAAGTGTATATGTACTGTATGTGTTCTGGGGTCTTTGACACGTACTCCATTGGCGTGTAGTCGGGCCAAGGCCGACTGCCAACTTCGTACAAGGGAACGGCTGTTGGGGTAGAGTATGGGTAGGTGAGAACTAGGTAAGGTGAGTAGGAGTGCCGTTTGGCGTTTTTCGCTGTGTTTCTGGTGCGATGTCTTTGCTTCTTCGTCTTGTCTCGTGCTCGGGCCTTCATTCATCTTTGTCCTCATTCTAGCCTGCTACTTCCGGTCCTCCAGTGCTGTTTGTCCTGCAAGCAGCGTTTCCTTGGTGTGCGGAGTGGTTTTGAATTAGTTTGGATTAGTTTGAATTTAGTTTTGAATTAGTTTTTGCGTTTTGTAGGTTGGGTTTGATTGGGTTGTGGGTCGCAGGCGTATTATTCTGTAGTATATAGGCTATATGTGAAAGAGTGAGCTTTTTATATGAGCGGGATCTCACTGAATGTCGCTTTGAAGCGTCCTGTACTGTTGATGAAACGCATAAGTGGTTTAGTTGCTTCTTCTGACGCTAGGAGAAAGGAGATGGAGGAGGCTCGACGACGTAGGACATTAGAGAGTATATGACGTTCGCGGATGTATTGGGGGCAATCAAGTAGGTAGTGGTGGATGGTTTCGTTTGTACCGGGGCATATGGGACAGTGTGGGGTTGCGCTCTTTCCGAGATGGTGTAGATGGTAGTTGAGGGGTACATGGCGGGTGTGGAGTTGAGTGTATATGCTGGTCTGTCGACGTGGACTGAGGGCTACGAGGCGGAGAAAGTTCTTGGATGGCATGGTGGGGTCGATCGCGTTGGTTCTGGCGTATCTGGGTGAGTTTTTCCATATGTTGCTCCAGCGTTTCTGTAGGGTGTCCTCATGCCACTGTTTCAGGGCGGATATACTGTCCAGCAATGGACCATCTTGAAGGAACTTTGGGAGTCTGTGTTTGGCGCTTGATTCGTTGGGGCCCTTTGCTGCCTCTTTTGCTGCTGCGTCAGCGAGTTCATTACCTATCACTCCTTTATGTCCTGGTATCCAACGGATTGTTAGATCGAAGTCGCTTCCGTGATGCTCTCTGCGTAGCGCGAGCTCTCTTGTTAGTCTGCGGAAATGTTCTACTAAGTATCCGCCCGATTTCGCAATATGACTCTCACCGGATTGGATGGCTGCACGATTATCTATGAAGATGGATGCTGGATAGGTGACATTGCGTTCTGTCGCTAGGAGTTTGGCAGCTAGTGTGAGTCCAACCACTTCTGCTTCATATACGGTGTGTACTTTGTTTGATCCTAGGTGATACTTTAGTGTGTGGGGTGCTTGCCCTTCCCGCAGTAGAACCGCTGCTGCTCCTATGCCTCCGTTATGTCCAGAGCCGTCAGTAAAAATTTGTATCACATCCTTGAGTTCTTGCTGTTCTTTGATGGCTTCCTTCGCTTTCGGTGTGATATGATTTTTGACGACGTTTCTTTGACTGGCGTTTAGGCGTAGGATAGGATCTAATGTTTCCGTTTCACTTGGGAGGATTTGGAATGTAGCTAGGAGTTCGTGTAGCGACGTGCGGTGCCTTCGTATGTTCTGGTGTCGGACTATGTGCTTCAGGAGGGGTTGTAGAGGGTGGCGGTCTGGTAGCGTGGCTAGGCGGAGAGTGGAACGGTGACATATTCTCTGGAGGAGAAGGGGGATGGGGGGGAGGTTCGAGTGTGCGTCTAGGGTGTCAGTAGCTGTTGATCTCATTGCTCCTGTGATGCTCAGTGTCGCGATATGTTGTACCTTAGCTAGTTTTCGGGCCACTCCCATAGATCCTTTCCGAGGCGAGCCTGTATACGAGTTGAAGGTTGGATGGAACCATATATCCGCTCCGTAGGTGTACTTGGGGATGGCTACCGTAATGTATAACTTACGCATGAGATTGGCTGATACTCCGTTGGTGGGCTTGGCAAGACGGCGAAGTTGGAGGACATATTCGACTCCCTTAGCGATTGCGTGACCTGTGTGATATTTCCACGTTAGTTCCTGATCAACGAGCAGGCCGAGGAAGCGGTGATGCTCAGTGGGGTTGATTGTGGTGTTTTGTATAACTAGTGGAGGGCGGTGATGGGTTTTGCTGCGGGTGAAATCTATTAGGGCGAATTTGTTAACTTCAAATTTTGAGTTGTGATCTTGAGACCATTGGAGTGCTCCGTCGCGTCGTTCCATCATATCTTTCAGGGTGCAGTGGGTGGCTTCGAACGTTGGGCCTATGGCGATGAAGGCCGTGTCGTCGACGAAGGCTAGGGCTGTTTCCTGTTTGCGGGGGTTAGCTATGTCTACAAGGTCAGCATTATATATCAAGTAGGCTATCATAGATAAGGGGTCTCCTTGACCGATTCTGTTCCGAACGTCTATCCATTTTGAAGTTGAGTCGTTGAAGCGTAGTTGCGTGCGTCGTCCTGTAAGCATTCTGACTGTGAAATCGACTATTTCCGGGGGGAGTCGTCTTTTCTTCATGTTGTGAGCGAGCCGGTCAGTTACTGCATTGGGGAAGGCGCCTTCGATGTCCAGGAAGAGTATTGAGGCAACTTTGTTGTTACACCATGCGTTCTTGACAGTAGCTTCTAGGAGGTGTAGGGAATCTGTTGTGGTGCGGCCTGGGCGTCCACCGAAGTGTGTATTTGGGAGGAGGTTGTGTTGCTCTAGGATACGTGTGACTTGTTCTGCTATTAGGGCGGTAAGTAGCTTGCAAGTGTTACGCTGACCGTCGGTCGGCGTGTGCGAACTAGGATAGGTCTTCTCAGCGACGACTCGAGTGAGTCTACTGAAGCTGAGCGTGGTCTAGCCTTGACGGAACGTCAAGGATTCCTCCGGCGATCTCGGTAAGACGGCGCTCGTCGAGATGCAGGGCTAGCGGATACGTGCTAAGTCGTATGGGGGCGACTTAGAAGTGCGGTCTCACACAAGGAAGCTGGTAAGCTTAGATGAGCAAGTTCTGGGGATGAACCTAGTAGATTAAAGTAAAGTCTAAGTACGATAATCCTGTCTACTTATAGGGAAGTACTACAAGTATTCTAGCTCAGTCTGTAATCAATAGTATATCTATGATCTGTGATAACAAGACATGAGGTTCAGATAAGTACATGAGGCTTAACCTCTGATCAAGCATGTTGCGCCAAGGGCAGCTGCGCATAGGTACAGGAAGCGCCAGGCGCGCTCCGGATCTTCATGAAGCGACATGTGGCATACATGCGCTGATCTAGGGTGTCCATGAGGCGTACAGCCTTCATGGATCAGGTACAAGGCCATCTAGGCCAGGGGCGGGGTCATAGCGCCAGGGGCGGAGTCATAGCGGTCCAGACCGCTGTCTTTCTAGGTGTAGGCGGCGCACCGCCGCGCGGGGAGTCTAGCAGAGCGGGGGCAGGCGTAGGCAGAGCTGGGGCTCCTGTAGGTGTTACAGATGCCTGTAACAGCAAGTGGTATTAATTAGGGCAATGGGACAATACGCTTTCGGGATGGTGTAGTCAGTCTTTCCTGGTTTGCGTAGGACTACGGTCGTGAACTCTCGCCATGGGTCGTAGTATGTTTGGAGGGTGAAGACTGCGTTGAATAGGCGTAGGAGGTAGGGGACGAGGAGGTGTTGCGCGCGTTTAAATACTATGTTACATATGCCGTCGGGTCCGGGAGCTTTATACGAGCTGGTGTTGTTGATGGTGCGAATGAGCTGTGCTGCCAGGATGGGAGCGAAGGGGGTGACGGGTTCTGGATAGCTGAAGTTAGTAGGGACTGAACTGGTGAGAGGAGGAGGCGGAAAGAATGCTTCAGCTAGGGCTATACTCTTATCTTCATTCGTGATAGCTTCTACTTGGTTGCCGTTGGCATCTTTGGTCTTTAGGGCAGGGATACTTGTTCTTCCTCCGTCGCCGTAGGGCTTCATCATGATTTTGTTGGCCGTGTAGATACTTTCTTGATTGAGTTCTTCGAGGAAGCTGATCCAGTGCTCTTGCGGATGGCTTCGGTAGTTAGGTTGCGGAATTTACGATGTTCTTCGTGTATAGGGTGGTCAGGTAGGCCTCTCATCTTATACGATTCTGCACTTAGCTGGTCTTTCTGTTTTAACATCTTTGTGAGCTCCTTCGTCCACCATCGTTTGGCGTGAGGGGATGGCTTCGTTTTGGGGACTTTGTCGGCTATGGTACATTTAAGGGCTTCACTAAGATTGGCGGCGGCCATTTGAAACTGTTCTTCTGAGGTGATGAGTGCTGGGGGAGGGTATGCGCTGAGGTGACGGGCGAGGGAGCTATTGAATTCTTCCCAGTCAACTTCGCAGTAGTTGACTGTTGTGGCTGTTGAGGCACGTGGGACTTCTAAATCTAGGGAGCTAATGATGGGAACATGGTCAGTACACGGCGGTCGGCGTCTAGGAGTAGTATTGCAGATAGTGAACGAATCTAGCGTATGGGACGTGCAAAATATATTGTCTGGTCTTGTCCAGTTGCCGCTGCTTGAGGATTGGAGCGTCGGGGTGTTCTTTGGAAGAGCCATCTGTAGATCGTAGTCAGCCATCAGGTTAATAATGTTTTGTGCGTTTTCCTGAGCATCTGGAGGTGTGCAAAGGTGTACGTTGCGGTCTTCCTCCCAGAGTGGGTGATGTGCATTGAAGTCGCCCATTAAAATTATGTGGTCTCCGGCGGTAGGGCGGATAGTGCGTATCTCCCTTTCTAGATATTCCAAGATGGCTGGAATGACTTCTCGTGTCTTGCAGTCATCGTAAATGTTGATGATGGTGAGTTTGCCGAAGGGTCCGCTGAGCTGAATTATCACTATGTCTGATGATGGGAATGGGAGTTGTCGCCAGTTGTTGGAGTTGAGTCGTTTGTTGATGAGGGTGATTGCGCGTGGTCTGTTGGGATTAGTATATCTGTTCGAGGGGTATATAACGTTCCAGTCCGGAGTTGCCTTAGTGTTACCTAGAAAGTCTATACAGGGTTCCTGGATTACAACGATATCTTGTTCTTTTGCCGTGAAAGGGCCGCTAAGGATGCAGTGTTGGGCAGTGTCCGATTTGTTTAAGTTTTCTTGCCAGATTCGTAGTCTTACTGTTTGTTCGTTGGGTGTCCTAGACATAGAGGGAGTTAGTGGAGC